TGGCCAACCAGTTCAAGCGGAAAGTAGCAGTTATAAATATGTATTATCGTTGCGGCACATGCAGTTATCAAACCCAGTATAATTGGACTGTTCTGGTTCTGTTACGCTTGCTTGGGCTAAGCGGAATCTGACTTGCGACTACAAAGTAAGAAGTAGGAGTGAGAACAGAAGAGGATAGGTACAGATAAGTATTGAAATATGTCTTGAAGTAACTTTGCATATATAAAAATAATATTTAAATTGCACTATAATTTGTAGGAAAAAAAATAAAATCAATTCCACTACAAAGTCTGTGGACAAAAAAATAATGTCCAAACCAAAACCACTTACTAAATGGATTTATGGAAGAAAAGAGTAAAAAAAAAGAATGCAGTTTTGTCGAGTTGCGGCGAGAGATCAGTTCTTTTGTAGTTATGGTGTTGTCTGCTCTCACTCACATGACACTAGGATTAGGATGAGCTTTGCACTCAATGTCATTATGAAAATAAGAATACTGTAGATATTTTGAACCATCATCCAGAGGGAGTTGAAGCTGGCCCCAAACAAATCGTTAAACAGGATGAAAACAATTTTATCAACAACTAACTTGTGTTGTGTTGAATTAACGCTTTGAACATGATTCCCATAATGTATTAATCCACCAGATCTTAAAGTAAAGGTGTAACTGGTTCAAAATGCTGGTCCTAGGCCACAGCATCTACCATTAAACCAGTAATGGTTTCTCTACAACAGAGCCATGGAAATATTGGTCAAAAAGCCAATAAGAACACACCATTGCCAGGTGTTTCAGAGACTACATCTTCTTAGTTCTGATAATTTTATTAAATGTTGTAACTGTAAATAATTGTATAAATGTTTGCACAGTCGAGCCCCTGCTGTCCTGAGTTCTCTCATAGAGAGGGGCTCCTCTAACGGGAATGTAAAAGTGCCCTTCAGGAGGACCACATTCGGACAGTCGGTCTTCTCGGTCCAGGGGCAAAGCTCTGGAACTCTTTAAGCCCTCAGCTAAAACTGAACTCTGACTGGGCTGGTTTTAAACACGAACTGAAGCGATTTTTTAAAACAAACCAGTTGTTTGATCATGAATGAGTTGGAGAACACCTACTTTTGTATAATGTGAATATTATAATGTAAAATGTGTTATTAATTGTGTTAAAAGCCCTCCTAGGGACGGACGTTGTAAATTAGCCTTGGCTATAAATGTTGTGTTTCACATGTTAATTGTGTAACACTTTGACACTCCCTGTCAAAGTGTGTTACACTTAATTGTGAAACACACTTTGACAGGGAGTGTGTAACACTTCCTGTCAAATAAATCAATAAACACATCAGCAGATGTGGTCACATGACCACATGATCACATGTGTTTCTGAATCTGTGCCAAACAGAGGATTTGGGTTCAGGCCAACATTCAGTCATATGTGAGTATATGACATCATACACTTAAAGCTGAGGTACCTGACTCTAACTCTAATGGGGTGCATAACTTTCACACCACAACACTGCAACTAATCAAATCCATGACGCTAGTTTATGGTTTGCTTCTATCACAAGTTTCCACAAGCTCATATTCCAGGCCTCTGTTACATCTTTAGATCATCTTTTTCAATCAGAAAGGTGAAAAAGAGAGGACCTCCTCAGCCCTCTCAGGTTTTCTCTGATTCGACTTGATCTTCGGCCGAATCAAAAACACTCTCAGCCTTAAATACTACAGCTCTGACGCCGATTGGACCCAGTGCTTACCTGTGCTCCTCACATCAGTCCAGCTCGAGGTCCAAGAGGAGGCCGAGGTCTTTGGTCCAGTTTTAAATCCAGGGGCAAATCGAGGTCTGGGTTCTGGTTTGGGACCAGGTCTAGGTTCTGGTCTTTGACTCTGTGAAGAGTAGAAGTTTCTCTGCACTCAGAGCTCACAGCTTTAGTTTAATCCCATTAGACACATTTGGCTTTGTATCCACCTGCTCCGTAATCCCACTTGAACTGAGTCTAAACCAGGTCTAAACCAGGCCCAGAAGTGGCTCATGTAATACATTGTAGCATTCTGTCTTTTATAACGTGACGACAAGTTGTTGACATTAGCTTAGCACAGTTAGAAAATCATCTGTTTGCGCAACATTCACTTCTATTATACATTTAAGAGACTGTTATAAGTGTAATGGTGTGTAATACTGAAGTAACTAATACTGAAGTAACTAATGCTGTAGTAACTGTAATACTGAAGTAAATAATACTGAAGTAACTGCAATACTGAAGTAACTAATGCTGTAGTAACTGTAATACTGAAGTAAATAATACTGAAGTAACTGCAATACTGAAGTAACTAATACTGTAGTAACTGTGATACTGTAGTAACTGTACAGTAACTCTGTAGTAACTGTAACTCTGTAGTAACTGTAACTCTGTGCACATAACGCTTCAGTGAGTGAACTCATAAGAGACCAGAAGCAGGTTCCATTCTCTTTATTCACGTATATTGACACACAGTGCAGTGGATTGTGTTTGACTCGCTCACTTCTGACTCAACATAAACGCAGTGACATGTGCTTCACAGACAGGACGATAGGTTTAGGACTAATCCAGATATCCACTCCAGGTTCAGCTCAGTCACACAGGATCAGTCTGACTGAACAAAACTGTTATTCTGAGGTTCATTATGAAAGCAGGTTCTGGCATCAAACACATTTTGTAAAACTATTTATACATCTTTGAATGAGAAATATGGCCGTAAATTGAGTTGTCATGGTTTCTTTATGAAACATGAAACAAAGATGGAATCGATAACGCTCTAAAGAAACTTGTTCCTGGTTCTTTTCAGAGATAACAGCACATTACATCTTCATTCGAGTTAAAGCCTAATCTTGATAATTGTAACTTCCACGACAAGTTGATTATAACTTTAATCATTTCCATTATGTCATAATCATGTTAATTATAGTTTAATTGACATAATAATTCAAACATAACTTCATTTATGTAATAATAATTATGCAATGAGTTTTCCACATTTAAAAGAATTCTTACAAAAACAAATGATCTGCTTCTTGCACAGTTTCATGTGTTCTCTGCTTCACTTTAGAGTGCATTACACTGGCAGCAACTTGTATTAGAATGTGTTAGTTATTAGAAATATTAGTTTAATACTTCTACAATGTAAGAATTAATACTTTTAACTTCCACAATGCCCAAAGAGTCAAACTGATCGTGTGCCAATCGAGCTTTCGACAAACACAAAATTTCCTACTTCATCTACGACAGAATCAAACATGAACAAAATAAACCATAAAACACAAAACATGAAATATATTTAAAACAGCACACAGTGTAAACAGTGAGGTCATGTGACGGTGACCGCGAGCTGCGATTGGTGCAGATATGGCTCATTTATATACGTTAGTGCAGGTGAAACTACACGCTTCATGTAGCTTATAATAATGTGGTTATTTTACACCTGGGTTAAAAACATGTTGATCCGATACTCCGATATTCAAATGTTTCTGATCGTTTGATACTCCAATATTCCAATACTTTGATATATTCCAACACTTTAATAGTTCAATGTTCAAGGTATCCTAATACTTTGATACGATACCACCGTTACTCACATACGCTTGATATTTCGATACTTTGATATAATACGGACTCTCTAAGGAACCCTCATCTCAAAGGGCAATCCTAAATAAATAAATACTTCGACACAATACTTCCCATTGTCCTGCTGATTCGATGCGGCTCTCACGATACGATACTTTCAATATCTGATAATATTGCCTTGTGCAGTCTTTCAGTACTACAGTCTTCACAACATAGCTCTACATTGGGGGTAGGAGGGGAGGAGGCTGGGGGGTAAGCGGAGTGGGGGGTGGTGGTTCCTATGGAAACGAGTCTTTGTCTTGACTGCTTTGGTTTGTTGTTGGTGCAGTTTCTTGGCTCAAACATGAAAATGATCAAATAATTAAAATTAAGTCCAAATATCAGAAACTGTAATGTTTCCACATTTAAAATGATTCTTACAAAAAATGATCTTTTTATGCTTCTTGGCACATTTTTTTGTATTCTCTACAAAAAGAACAGGTTTCATGTTTACTCTGATGGCCTGGATCCTTGGCAGAGACACATGTGATATGCTTCACTTTAGAGTGCATTGGACTGGCAGTAACTTGTATCAGCAGTAGTAGTAGTTGTGGTAGTAGTAGTTGTAGTAGTAGTAGATTCTGTAGCAGTAGAAGTTGTAATAATAGTTGTAGTAGTAGTTGTAATAATAGTAGTAGTGTTAGTGGTTGTAGTAGTAGCAGCAGCAGCAGTAATAGTAGTAGTAGTAGTAGACACTGTAGTAGTAGTTGTAATACTAGTAGTAGTGGTGGTAATAGTAGTAGTAGTAGTAGTAGCGGTATAAGCAGTAGTAGTGACAGATGGCAGTGATCTTCTTTGGCAGTAGGTGGCAGTGTACACAGATGGATAGTACCCGGTTTAGGTAAGTTCAGGTAGGTTATTACCGGTTTAGACCCACCAAAGTCAGGTTTGCTTAGTTCTGGTGGGTCTGGATCAAAACTCTACAGTCTGACAGTGATTACTCTACAGTCTGACAGTGATTACCAGTCCTCAGTAGTTGGTCGTGTTGGTGACAGTTTCTTTTTCTTGTCGTCTGGGCCAGTTTTTGGTCAAGGTTTGGGTCAGTGTCTGGTCAGGGTCTCTTCTCTGGGTTAGTGGTGGCTCTATAGTGCCATTTCAAAGATGTGAGTTAATCTTGGCGTTCTGGTCTTGGCTCGGATCTTGGGTCTGGTCTTAGATCTGGTCTAAGCATTGATACGTAGGATGAAGGAGAAGGACACTCTTCCGGCGAACTAGCCTGCGCTCGTGGCATACACATGAGTTGATCTTGGGTCTCTGGGTCTGGTCATGGATCTGGTTTTTGGTCTGGTCTTGGGTCTGGTCTTGGGTCTGATCTTGGGTCAGGTCTTGGGTCTGGTCTTGGGTCTGATCTTGGGTCAGGTCTTGGGTCTGATCTAAGCGTTGATGCGTAGGATGAAGGACACTCTTCCAGCGAACTTGTCGCGCTCGTTGGCGTAAACATCGCCCAAAGTGTTGGAGTTGATGCGACACTCAACACTGAGGTCTGTGTTCAGAGACGCGTTCAAGAACTTCACCGCGACCAGAGGCTGAGAATAGTTTACCTGCAACACAAAAAAAACAAAACAACAAAACATCAACACAAAAAACAATACCACGTTAACACAGAACAACACACATCAAGACAAATCAGGGACATGTTTGGAAATTTATGAACATTTATGTTGATTGGTCTGCTACCTATGAACCAATGGCTTCAATGTGTTTGATTCTCTGATCTGTTGTTGGCAAATCGACAACTTTGTAAAGTCCTCCAAGACAACTGCTTTTTTGCTTTAGGGCTGTACAAAAATAAACTGAATTGATTTGAAAACAACACAAAATCTCAAGACTACATATCATCAACACAAAACAACAAAACCACACAACAACGCAGGACTCACCTGGGCCTTGTTTCCGTAGTATGGGTAGTACATGAGGTTGAGGGTTCCATTGGGAGGATAATACGCCAACGGTCCAACGTTTCCATGTTCTTTCTGAACACATGGAATGGAACAGTTTTAAAAAGATTGTTAGCAAACAGCTAACGGCTAACAGTAAACCCACAGACAGGAGCTTTTGTTCTTTACAAAATTAGTGAAGAGTTGAGTCTGATTTGCTCAAGTTTGACTCTGACCTTTGCTCCACACGACACAAATGGAGACTGTCCATCTTTACCAGGAAGCATCCCGATGACCTGTAAGACAACAGCACTTTAGAGCTCACCTTAGAGCTTCCATTTATAGCTTCCGTAAGGGCTCGTCAACTAGGTCCTCAAAGAGCTGTGTGGCCACAACTTAGAGCTTACCCTTAGACCTTACAGCTTCACCTTAGAGCCTCTTCCTAGACCTTCACCTTTGAGCCTGAGCTTTGAACTAATCTTGAGCTAGTCCTTAGATATTTATTTTAGAGCATCACCCTAGAGCCTTACCTTAGAGCTTCACTTTAGAGTTTAGAACTCCCATTAGAGCTTTACCTAAGGGATTCACCTCAGAGCTCACGTTAGAGCTCACCTTAGGGCTAAACTTAGAGCTCACTCACCCGGTTGAGCTTCAGCAGGACACAGGGCTGACCGCTGCTGTAGCCGAAGGTCGGGTCAGTGATTCCAGAACACACCTCCAGAGACGTGCGGTTAAACTGACACGAGCGCTTCGGGTTGTTCCTCACCTGAAACAGATCATCATCTTCATCATTATCATCATCATTATTGTCATCCTCATTATCATCATTGTCATCACAATCATCATCATGCTGGGGCGACAGTAGCTCAGTTGGTAGAGAATTGGCCTTTGAGCCAGAAGGTCATTGGTTCGAGCCCTCCCACGGTCTGCTGTCGTTGTGTCCTTGGAAAGACACTTAACCTGTGGGAACACCCAATGCCACAGTGGGGCTGCGGCTGTAAAGTGCCAAACTGCCGTTGTGTCCTTAGGCAAGACACTTCACCCCCATTGCCTAGAATGAGTCTAGTGTATGAATGGTTGGTGGTGGTCGCTTCTGTCAGTGTGCCCCATGACAGCAGCAGTTTATCACCACCGTGTTTGGAGAGAATGAATAATGACACGTGAAGCTTCTTTGAGAGTCCAAAAAAGCGCTATATAAAACCAAAGCATTATTATCATCATCTTCATCATCATAGTCCTTATCAACGGGAGCGACAACCTGAAGGTTGTGGGTTCGAGCCCACCGCAAGACCCTCTATACAGACTCCCATATATGGCCTTGGGCAAGGCACTTAACCCCACTTTGCCTGAGGCCCCCACTGAAAGATAAAGGTTATGCTCTCAGCGACGGAGCAGTGAGGGGCTGGTGCTCTGGGTACTGGGTGCAGCTCTGACTGCCACCCCCCCGACCCAGAAAGGGGATTAAGGGGAAGAAGATGGATGGACTGATCATCATCATCACCATCAACATCATCAGACCACAGAGCCTGAAGGTCTACAGACAGGTTCACCTCAGGGTCTGAAAGTCTACAGAGAGGTCTTTAGATAGATAGATATTGTGTTGATCCCCTGTAGAAGAAAGCAGAAGCCATTATTATTATTCCTTAGAGCTAAAAGCCTGGCCTAAAGGTCTACAGACAGTTTCTTAGACTTCTTAGTTTCCGCTCTCACTCACTGCAGGCTGTCTTTTCAAATTAAGTTAAACCAGTAGAATTACCTGCAGCTGTGCTCCAGACAAGCTGTAGAAACATGTCAACAACAATCAGTGGAAACAAGGTCTGAGCTCAGTATAGAGTTTTACTAAAGGGTGTGAATACTCAAGCACTTGTGATATTTCTGTGTTTTATTTTTAATTGAATGGAAAAGACTCCTAAAAGCATGCTGCACTTTGTGATAAGAGTTTGTTGTGAAATGATGGTCAGAAAAAGAATTCCTGTCCTCCTCTGCCCGACGTGTGGGCTTCATCCCCGGCCCGCCTGGGAGCCGCCTCAGTCCTGCAATGCGTGGCCTCGGTCCTCGTTGCGCAGCCTGACTGTCTGTGAGAGCAGATCCCTCTCTCAATGTGGGCCAAGGTTTCTCACATTTTCCCACTGATTTTCTTTTTTTAGAGTTGTTCCTTGCCGATGCAGGAGGACAGTGGTGATGATCCACGACACTTGACCTGACATTCAGCAACATTTACACTGTATGGACATTGGTCATCTGCCCCTTATGGACCAATGGCTCTGTGTTATTTTATCCTTGTGTTTGAACTGTTTAAATCTGTGAAGGCGGTGGTTCAATTCACGTTATCTTGGTATCCTCCAAGATAACGTGAATTGAATTTTTAAAAAAAATGTTGTGATACATTTTAGAATAAAGATGAAGGGGTGGGGTTTGGGGTCAGAGGGAGTCTCACCTCTCCGCTGTCCTCCTGGATGAAGTACTGGTCAGGGGGACAATTGTCGTTGGTTTGAGCCTGAACGGTGTCGTTGTATTCTGCAAATACACCGTATCATATATAAACATACATGTTTTGTTATTGGCAGTGCATTTGAAGGTTAGGTTAAGGTCACTTTAAATAATCCCGGACACACAAATTGTCCTTTGCTTGTGTCCCATCCTGTAAAGCCACTCGGTCCTCTGTCAGGAGGTCAGGACTTCTACACCCCCATAGACTGCACAGGGACAGCAGCAGCAGCCACTCTTTTGTGTTCACATTGTGCAATATCAAAATTGACGCTGTTAATACGGGTTTGCGTTAAGTAAGTAAGTAAGTAATCTTTATTTATATACCGCCTTTTCACTGCAGATCTGAGTCTCAAAGCGGTTTACAATTGTTAGTTTTGGGCATTTGTCTCTCACTGCACACAGAGATGGGAGTGGGGGCACCAGTACAGGAGGCGCATTCCAGAACTATTGGACATATTTTTAGTGGTAGGGGAAACCGGAGTACCCGGAGGAAACCTACGCAGACACGGGGAGAACATGCAAACTCCACTCAAAAAGGCCCTGGTCCGACCGGGATTTGAACCCAGGACCTTCTTGCTGAGAGGCAAGAGTGCTATCCACTCAGCCACCGTGCCGATTAGTGTTAATAATTTATATAAAGCATTTATGCTTACGTGACAGAAAGGAGCTGAGGCTGCTGGTCAGGTCACTGTAGGATTCTGACTTTGACATGGAGTAGGAAATGTACAACTGCTCTCCCTTTGGACGGATCATCATCCCTGAAACACAACATGTGTTTACAATACACACACACACACACACACACACACACACACACACACACACACACACACACACACACACACACACACACACACATACACGTTTTTGTTACCTGGTGGGTCCCTTTGACAGGGCCGTTCAGAATGGGACCCATAGACATAATCTTTTTTTACCAAGACTTTAAGTAATACAAAACAGTCAATAGAAACCAAACAACTATTTTAAAGGAATTTTATTTTAGATTTTGTTTTCGAATTGCAGTGATTCTATTTTTGACATAGAATTTAATGCCACTCCATGTCCGATGTCTAAGGTCATCTGGTGAGGCATTAATGCAGGCCAGGCAGTGAGACTTCCCAGGGACCTTTCCAGTCTGTATGAAAGGTGTCATGGTCTTCTCCACAGCCTTCACCTCAGATGCAGACCATGGCTTTCTTACACGTTCTAGGGAGAGAAATAAAAATATATTAGCGATATACACTCCCAGGGTGAGGACCAAGCAGCCTGGCTGTAATCCCCCACCTGGTACACTTACCAGAAGGGGCACTGCCACTACCATGGGGTGCATCTGGATGAATGGTTGAAGGTTCTCCGCTTGAAGTTTCTTTTAGCCCGTCCGTTTGTGAGAGGATCTCTACTGCTCTCCCTGTCGCACAGAAAATAAAAATACAAGTGGCCTTTAGGGGAAAAAAATCATACATATTTTAATAATATCAAGAATTACCTTCAGGCTCAATTTGTATCTGGTCGAGGCTCTTTCCTTCGAATTCCGTCACTCTTCCCTGCTCCATGGCCATCAACACTTTGCTGATTTTGGCCAGCTCCAGTGTCCCCTCTGGTAGTCTGTAATATTGCCTGTGGATGCGAATGTCATGGCCGAGGAAGTTGGCAAGTATGTCCATCTCATTCTCTTTCATATTGAGAACTGTAGACATAGTAGCTATGTGCTTTCTAAGTTTGGTTGAGGATAGCATCTCTGGATGCACCGCACCACATTCTTTGGCTACCTGGCGTAGGGAGTCTGATCCCCTGATGTGGGTGTCTGCGCCCGGGCGGGAAAAGAAGTATGGGTTATGGTCAGAGATGGAACAGGCCCTTCTGTTCTCCACCAGCACCTCCATCGAAGCAATCATTTCAGGAGTCAAAAGAACCGGCACTTTCCGACTTCTTTTCCCTTTAATTTCAATGCGTTGAAAATGCTGACACAGCTTTTTCTCAAGTTGGGACAGTCCCAGAGCAATGTCAGAATGGATCCCAGTCTTACTTCTTAAGGTAAAGGCTGTCAGTGGCATCTTTGAAACCTCACCTTCCCTTCTTCGATTGAAAATGATGACCTCACAAAGAGTCAAAACTGCCAGTTTAGACCAATGCTTAGACGTTGGCTCACTTATTAGGGTTTGCACATATTCAGGTCGACATACCTCAATATGTGCATGCATGGCTCTAACGTCCTCAGTCAGAGGGAGCAGGTCCGGAGTGTTCCACTTGGCTTGCCGGAGGGTCTGTAGGGCAGCAGAAGAAACACAGACGTCCCACCTCTTCTCAAAAAGCAGCCGGCTTCGTTGGAGGTTTTTAATAAATAGTTCATCAACACAATGCTCCATTTTTGAGTCACATTCAAGAATATCTGCTAGCTTTCTGAGGCTATGGCCGAGTTTGAGGGCCAAGGATGGAGTCTTGTATTGATTTGTTTCCTCATCATATCCAGCCACAGACCTGACTGCATCAATCACATGGTTAAAGTTGGAAGGAATAAAGAAATCCTTAATTGTTTTCAGTTTCCCTGCGGTTTTTGCTTCGTTAATTAACCTACCGACTTCTCTCATTTTCTGCCTAATGTAATCATGCTTTGTCTTATCATGCCCGTGTTTTAAGTACAGGTGCTCTCCGAGTCTCAGAATCCCCTTTTCTGCTTTGACAACACCCGTGACCTCATCCTGATGCATTGCCGAAATTAAAGACCACAGCTTTTTGCTGATGCCCTCCGGTACAGGCTGGGCTAGGGAGCAGAGGGACTGGACCCTACTTCTACCTGGTTTAGCCTGGGCATCTTTCTGTGAAAGCCGGCACCTGGCCACATGCCTCCACAGCGACTTTCGCTTAAGCAATGCCCCACAGTCTATACAGTGCAAAAACTCACTGGATTTAACTGGGGAATTTGGCTGTTTAGCTGGGACTAAAGTTCCAATGCCGGCCTTTAAAACCTCAAAATTGTGCTCACGGTTTCCACTATTCCTGATCAAATCAAACTGAAGTTTACGTGCTTTAGATTTCACAGGTAGAGCCAATGCTCTGGCTACGTCACTTTCATTTCCATGTTTTCTAGTCAAATGACGGGACATTTTGTGGCAGGACATTGAACAGTAGAGGCAGAAGTGTCTCTTGCTGTATACTCGCCCCCCATTTTTCTTCTTTTGCAGCTGCATGATAACAATCTTATTTGCCTTTGGTTCGTCACTTTCCGAGTCTTGAAGAAAAGTGTTTTTGATTTTTCTTTTTCCATACTTTTTTACAGGTTTCTTCTTGACAGTTAAATCGTCAGAATCTGAGTCGACTTCATCAATTAGGGACTCTTGACTAAGCTGCACAAACAACAAATAATTTGTAATCATTCTATATAACAATTTGAAGTCATGACTTGTAGTCAGCACTTACCAGTGGTTTGTAAGCGTGCGCTTCAGTGTGCTCCTCCATGATTTCTTGCAGCCTAATGAACCACACACTTGCACCTTTTTCTAGCCTGACACCTGATTTCCTCTGTTGTGCTGCTCCATGATTGGCTCCAGCCTGCTGGACTGAAATTGCCCCAGTGTGCCCCTCCTTGATATCCCGCAACCCACCACCAGGGTTCCGACACATAACACACTTTTTTCAGGAAAGTAAACCTCCAGGGGTCCTTTCCATATTTTTACAGAGACTGCATAAGGACCGTTAGAAAAGCATTACCCATTGATTATTAAGCTTGGACCAGTGGGGTCCGGTGTTCGGGCCCCACCACGTAAAACCAGTCCCCATGACGTGAGTGGAATCTCAGGTTATGGAACCCACCAGGAGTTGAAAACAAGTGCACACACACACACACACACACACACACACACACACACACACAGTTGTCTTACCGGGTGTAGTGAGGCGGTCCTGCCAGGTGGGGCGGTAGTCATCCAGCGTCATCAGCATCACATACATGGTGAGAGCAAACATCCCAGCGAGGAAGAGGTAGAAGACGAGGTAGAAGAGGAGGATCAGACCTGCAGCAACAAGCAAACATCACAAAAGGCTCAGAGGACACGTCTCACAAGGACACAGCATGTGGTCCCCCAACTCTAACAACAGGGGGCAGTGTGACAAGGAGTGTTCTGTAATGAGGACCAAGATCTCTGGTGTGGGTGGAGCTCTGTTTAGCTCCACCACACTCTGGCATCAGGACCTTCTGCCACAGGCCGACAGAAAAAGTACCATGAAAACATGAAGACAAGTAAATATTAGATTCTAATATCTCAATTTTAAAATAAAAATACTACATTATATATTATCATACTGTTAGCCTCATGACATAATTGCCTCATGTCATTTTATAGCAAAATTGTGATATCTGTTCAACTTGACTCTGCTTCCAATGCTGCCTTTTAGCCTCTGCTGAGGCCAATCACAACACTCATTAGAATCAAACAGCACAATCTGCCTAAAGCCTAGTGTGTAGTCGTGCGGCGCAGAGCTTACGGTGGTGACGTGACGTCACTTGCGCAACGCAAGGATCACCGCTCTGCTGTGAAGCATTAGCTCTTCTTTTTGATTCATTTGCATCTGAGAGTAGTTTAAATTAAATCTACAACCTAAGTCCGTCAAAGGGATTATGAATCGTGGATATCAAAATCAGTGTAGTATCCTTATTAACACTTAGCCCTTAGAAATAACACTTACTTCCTGATATTTAATCAGGTAAACTTTGCATGCTGGGTCATCTGAATTCATACATTTGGATGAAAAGTATGTTTGCTGTAGGCGTATGACTGGATGTAAGAGCTGTATACAAATATATTCATTTCTTGTTTATTGAAAACATTGAAATATGACAAAGAAAATATGCTACAAGGCAAACAAAATGTGTTTCATCACATTTGTGTCATATGAGTCTGTGAAGCCTGATGTTTGTGCCGAGATAATCCTTTGTGTTTGACCTACATCCATTCTTGCAGTCGTCTCCTTACACAGAAAAGAGTCTGCTGGCAGAGGCCTCAAACATGCGGCCCGCGAGCCATTTGCGGCCCGCGAAAAGATATTTTGTGGCCCCCTAGTGGACATCACACTTTAATGTTGGTGCTGCCCCCACTCAGAGTCCAGGGTCATGTGGCAAGTTGTATAACATTTTAAAGCTACTTTTATCAAGAAAACGACCCTGTTCACATTGATAAATGGCACACTTTCACACGCAGCTCAAGCTCCAGAAGCCCGCCTCCAGGAAGTGATGCACAGGAGAGAGAAACCAAAACAGCGTATCAGAGCGCAAAGCCTTTCCCAATGTATGCTCTCCGTCTACCAAAGTATGTTCGCTTCTATGCTGTTTTCCTGCTATTGTCTGGGACTAAAAGTGTTACCATCACTTCCAAGACTGCTCGTTTACCATGAAACAGGACTTACTCAAAAGCTGATCTGGAAACCTTTGTCATTCCCACGATAAAAGACGCTAACGAAGAGTTTATTTGTAAGTGAGGTACTTTGATGAGTACCAGGAGATGGTGTTTGGTACTCACTCCATTTGTCGCGTGGTTCTTAATGGAGATTTTATACTTGCTTTATATTTTATACAATATTTATATTTATATTTTAACAAAACAAAAATCAAAAGAATGTTCTGTTTGATTTGTTCACAACATTTTACTTTTGGGCACAACCAACATTATTATGCATTATTAATGCAAGGGACCACAGCTTTAATTTAGAGACACAGGGAGGACATGGACCTCCCTTAAGGCTCCATAGTCCAGCAGCGAAGGCTAGCGCTAGCTACTAGCTTCGTGCAGAACCAATAATGCATTGGTTTTATAAAGTGCTTTTCTGGACACTCAAAGTGGCCATTATTCATTCACTCCATACACAGTGGTGATAAACTACTACTGTAGCCACAGCTGCCCTGGGGCACACTAATAGAAGCAAGGCAACTAGTATGGGCCATCTGCCCCTCCGACCATCATCAACCATTCACACACACACCAGACTCATTCTAGGCAATGTGGGTGAAGTGTCTTGCCTAAGGACACAACGGCAGTTTGGCACTTTACAGCCGCCCCTCTGTGGCACCTTGTGTTCCTAGGGGTCTCCCATCACAGTACTAGCCAGGCCCTGCCCTGCACAGCTTCAGAGGTCTGATGGGCTCTGAAATAACCGATAGCTGGGCTTTGAGTGGAATTAGATACAGGCTTGCAAAATGTATTATATTTCTTAATATGCTATTGCTAGCTCGTTATGACAAAAAAGGCACTGGTTTGTTGGACACAAATAAAAAATACAGAATAAAGACTGAATTCAGTCTTTATTCAATGATGTACTAAAAATTCATGTGAAAAAATACTTCTCACTGTTAATATTTATATGCGATTACAATTAGGTTGACCTTTACCTTTAAAATTCGATTTTTAAAAATTATTTTGGTAAAAAACCTTCATGATTATAAAAAGCCCCAGATACAAATGATAAGCTATAAACAAATGTATAATACACTTAAAAACAAACTATTTCATTTTTACTTTTGTATAGACACAAACCTTTACTTTGTGCCTTGGCTGCGGCTGTAAAGTGCCAAACTGCTGTTGTGTCCTTAGGCAAGACACTTCACCCCCATTGCCTAGAATGAGTCTGGTGTGTGTGTTAAAGGTTGGTGGTGGTCAGAGGGGCTGATGGCACAGACTGGTTGCCTCGCTTCTGTCAGTGTGCCCCAGGGCAGCTGTGGCTACAGTAGTAGTTTATCACCATCGTGTGTGGAGTGAATGAATAACGACATGTGAAGTGACTTTGGGTGTCCAAAAAAGCACTATATAAAACTGACGCATTATTATGATTACTTTCTCTTATTATTCTCTTGTTATTATTAAAGAATGAGTTGTTTTTGGTATCAACGCTCAAATATTTTGTACACACACAAACACGTGATAAACATAACCCTTAATGCACCCAGCCACAGCCAGAACCGACCTCATGCGGCCCCGGCTGATTCCAGTTTCTTAAAGCTAGGGTGTGTAACTTTAAAGCTAGGGTATGTAATATCAAACCTGGGATACACAACTTTAAAGCTTGGGTACCTGACATTAAAGCTGAGGGATGTAACTGTAACCCTCTTCTCTTGCTGCTCACCAGTTCTTGAGGCGGTGGGTGTGCGGGTCATAATTTATAATAATAATCCAGACTCTGAGTTAATTCTCTCAGGTGGTGTTATCAATATATTTTTTAATGAAAAATGACGTCAATTGACGGGTCCAATTAAAGGTCCAGTAAAGTATTCAGGTTAGCTAAGCATTAATATCCTCCACCAAACCATAACAAAGTCTGTGAAAGCATTACACTACATCTGTGATTTGAGTGATTTGCCGGCTATACTTGACAAGTGCTAGCTTCCCCAAACAAACTAGCACTAAGCACTTGACTACCGCTGCATCACATATCCCTGGCTCTGTACGACGCCTTTTCCTCTGATATTCTCTTTTTGCCACAACAGGGCGAGCAGCAAACATGAAATTGGAACTTTTGGGTTTTCGGTTTAGCCATTAGGTGGTTTAGAAAATCTGGATAAAATCTGCGTCTGGATGAATCATTGACTGCATCTTTAATTCGACGTAGGCTACAAAAAATATAAAATAATTACAAAAACTAATTGGAGGGGTTTCAAATCTCCCCAGGGGCCCCCCAACTTTATAGATGGGGTCATAACTTAAAACACTGGAACTCCGTCTAAATATCCATATCTCTCGTTCCTGTCTCCATCACTGTATTCACCACAAGCTTCCGCCAAAAGAGTCAAATAGTGACTCCCAAAAGTTAAGAAACATGTTTTCTAATGAATGAAGACATGTATTGTAGTCTCACTTGTTCAACATTATTTCTAGAACATTTGTTCAACGTTTTACGTTTAAAAAGACAGTTCTATGAGCACGTGCGCAGCATATAGTCCAGACCTGAGCCCAGACTAGAGTCTAGACCCGAATCTAGATCCCGGTCCAGACCGAGTGGTATATGAACTTCAGACACTCCTGTGAGCGAATGCGCACCACATGCACGCGCTCACATATAAACACACGCGTAAACCCACGGTTGCGCGCGCACTCACCCCAGCTTGTGGCGGTCCGTCCCAGCAGCTCGTGAGTCCGTGGGTTCCAGATGAAATCCCAACTGGAACCTTTTGGTTCCTCTTTAGGGCCGCCTCCAGACATGGTTTCAGTCCTAGCTTGCTCCTGGTTTCTTAACTGGTTTAGAACTGATTTTGTCCTCGTTCAGACCTAGTTTTCAGTCCTGGTTCAGTCCTGGTTTAGACCTGGTTTAGACCTAGTTCAGTCCTGGTTCAGACCTGGTTAAGACTTGGTTTAGACCAGGTGAATCCCTGGTGAAATATTGGCTATTGTGATGAAGCTTATGTCCGCGGAGGTGAAGGTGAATATGGCGCTCTCCGGATTATGGCTCCAGCTGTTCGTGGATCTAAAACGCGGATTTGGCGCGTTTCGGTCGCGTTACTGAGGCGGGTCTGACGCGTTTTGGTCGCGTAAGTAAAGCGTGTCCGTGGGTAGGGTGGAGAATGGTTCTGATTAGGTCCAAACGAGGAGCTAGGAAGGAAGAGTCAGGACGTGCAGATGGAGGATGCAGATGATGGAGCAGCTCGGAGACAGGCCCCGCCCATACACTGTGACGTTACGATGCCCTGGTTCCTCACGCCCACGTGACGCACTGTGATGTCACTGTTGGACAGTGTCATCCTGCCCAATGACACCACACATGCCACAGACACCACCAGTGTTGGGCAAGATACTTCAAAAACATAATACATTATTATTATTTCAATAACATGTGTTACAATAATGCGGTTTCTGAATAAAGCCTTACCCTACTACTGCATTACTTTTAAGTTACTTGTTTCACCAAATATCAATCTATCAATCAATCAGTCTGTATTTGCAAAGCGCTTTTCCACACGGGGAATCACAAAGTGCTTCACAGTCCACATCATAGAAGACACAAATCATCAACTAATTAAAAGCATAAAACATTGAATTTAGCTTATTATGCTATTCTGTGAGGTTGATGGATCTTTTGGTTTTGCACAAAAAGTGCACTTAACTGTTAGTTTTGCTCAATTTTGTCTCATAATAAAAGGAGTATGCCTTGCTTTGTTAAATCACAGAGAAATGGAGCTTTGGAGGCTGAACTCAGGTCGGGACAAACCCTTGGGACGATAATGTGAAAACACCTATTCGGGTGGATCATCAAGACTATTGGTCCTCCCGACTGTCAATCATTCTACGTGATCGTCAAACAAGACCATAGTTTTGTATATTTGAGTTGTGAGCGTTATAGAGCTATAGAATTCAAGACCATATATAGTGATTATAAGATCTATCAAACTTCCTCCGGGTGGTAAAGTTACACAAATATAAATCAATCACTTCAATGTAATAGTTTTGCATTCTGTCAAATTGAATTTAATATTCTTTATTACTTAATAAAGTGCTGAAGTTAATAGTACTCAAAAAGGCCGATGGAACCTCTTACGGTATATTTTAGCAACACTTTTTACAGTGCAAAAAAAGGAGAGGGCGGTTCGTTCCTAAATATTGGGAAAATTCTCCTATATACCATCCCTTTTTGCACCTTCTGACACGGTTAGCCGTGCTTCTAAGTTCAGACCATTCGGCTTCTGTTCTACATGTTTGTCATAATTTCTGTCATTGGGAAACATTTCTTTTGGACTGAAGTAGAAGCTCGTAATGAATGATCTCAGCCTTTGCAGTATTTAAGGACCTGTGCTGAGGCGCAGAGAGCAGCAGGTGGCGCTGTTCCACTACAGCTCAGTGTTTCAGGACCTGTGACAGAACATGATTCAGACTCAGAGACAAACTGGAGGAAGTCCAACTGAGACAGCAACTAAGACTGGGACCAGGTCAAAACCAAGTCTGAACCAGGACAGAAGCTGATCTGAACCAGGACTAAAGCAGGTCTGAACCAGGACTAAAGCAGATCTGAGGCTGGACTGACTGAACCAGAACTGATCCAGCTCCGATCCAGGACGAAAACACCAGCACTAAACAGGTCTGAACCAGGACAGATCCAGAACTAAAGCAACTCTGAACCAGGTCTGAACCAGGTCTGAACCAGGACAGATCCAGAACCAAAGCAACTCTGAACCGGTGTTCTGTCGGAGATCAGTGTGAATCCGAACTGAACCAGGACTGATCTCGGACCTGTTAAACAATAAAGTCCTTGTTGTGTTGGTTTGTTGTGGAGTTCTCCAGCAGCTGAGGTGATGTCACTTTCACTTCATATATGTGTGTGTCCGTGCGTGCGTGCGTGCGTGTGTGTCTAATGATGAGGTTTGAAAAGGGAGTGCATTCCAAAAGCCAAAAACTTATATTAATCCAATCCCCCCAAAACGACAGTATTTGGCCATCAGAGATTAAAATACAAACTAATCACATTCATGTCAGCTAACTCATGATTAATCGCACATTTTCCCTTTTCTTAATGTCCCTTTATTTAGTTTGAAAAGGGACTGGATTACACAAAAAGTTAAATGAATCCAATACGGTTTTTTATTGTCTAATCCAAGCTACTCCAACTTTGTATGTTTTGTTATTGCTTTTTAAATCGTGCAGGACTATCTAACATAGAAATGACTGTAATACTGTAATACAGGAAACTCTTATGTTTTCAATTAAGCCAGTTAAATTATTATTATTTTTTCACAATGGAAATGTTCTGTTCTGCTAACCTACCTCTGACAGCCCTGTGCTGTTTTCATCCTGCAAACTTCTGCACTTTATTTGCTCTAGTATCACGTGACGCTCAAAGTGTAATTTTGTTGTTTTTGTGACAATGACAATGAATTATTGAATCTTGAAATAACTACAGCTTTGACCTTTGGGCGGTGACCTTGAGATAGTTGTGATTACTGATGAACGTCAAGTGAGAGCAACTGCTTTTGTTTTGCCGCACTGTGAAGTCTGACTCAGAGACCATGAGGTCAAACCAGTGGCGGCTCAAAAGTGGCCAAAATGACGTGCGCTGACATGCTGCAATACCACCCCGGGCCGGTGGGGGTGGACCCGGAATAAGAATTAGCCAATGCTAACATATAGGCAAGGCAAGGCAAGGCAAGTTTATTTGTATAGCACAATTCATACACAAGGCAACTCAAAGTGCTGAACAAGATAGCATTAAAATCATAAATAATCACAGAACATTAAAAAGAAAGTCCCTCAGTTGTATGCACAGCTAAACAGAACTGTCTTTAACCTGGTTTTAAACATTGTCAGAGAGGAGGCCTGTCTCACATCTTCAGGAAGACTGTTCCAGATTTTAGCAGCATGAATCTGAAAAGCAGCCTCCCCATGTTTAGTTCTGACTCTGGACACTAACAGGAGTCCAGTCCCTGTGCTCCTCAGAGTCCGGGCTGGTTCATATGGGACTAACATGTCACTAATATATTTTGGTGCGAGGCCATGGAGAGACTTGTACACAAGCAGAGCTGTTTTAAAGTCTATTCTCTGAGCCACAGGAAGCCAGTGCAGGGACCTGAGGACTGGACTAATGTGGTTGTACTTCCTGGTTCTAGTCAGGACTCGAGCTGCTGCATTTTGAATGTACTGCAGCTGTTTTACAGCCTGTTTGGACAGACCTGTGAGCAGGCCATTGCAGTAGTCTAACCTACTGGAGACAAATGCATGGATAAGAATCTCCAGGTCTGCTTTAGACACTATGTTTTTGATCCTGGCAATGTTTTTTAGATGGTAAAAAGCTGCTGATGTTACTGATTTGATGTGGCTATTCAAATTTAAGTCTGAGTCCAGTATTACCCCTAGATTTCTGACCTTGCTTGAAGGTTTTAGGGAGAGAGACTGTAGATGACAGATGACGCTCTCTCTTTGTTTCTGGGGACCAAAGACAATCATTTCAGTTTTGTCTGCGTTTAGCTGAAGGAAGTTGTTTTGCATCCACTCACTGATCTGTTGGATACAGTGAAGGAGTGAGTCCACTGGTCCATGTTCTCCTGCAGTCAGTGAGACATAGATCTGAGTGTCGTCTGCACAGTTATGATAGGAAACTTCGTTTCTGCGTATTAACTGACCTAACGGCAGCATGTAGAGATTGAACAGAAGAGGTCCCAGGATCGACCCCTGTGGTACAATATAGCATTGGCAGATCTCTCAAAAACGTCTTTACAGGATGGTCCAAGAGTTGGCTCTTGGCCCAAAGCTCCGTTCCACATGTGTGTCAATGCTGAGGGGGGTGGATTTTTTTGGTCCACTCTAGTTTACTTGCTGTGAATTTTTGAAGTCTCTCGTTCAAATTAATGAAGCTGCGCCGGCTGACGCATGCGCAGATGCGTTTTTTCACAATTTTCTTGTGGGCGGGACCACTCGCGGCCATTTTGGATAGCTCCAGTAGAGCAGATTTTTTTGCCCATTAGTTTGAACGGCGGAGATAGGCAAGACTACGTCCATTATTTTGTTAGAGTCTATGGCTCAAACACATACATCTGACTTTGAAAAATAATAATACCCTTTTCCAAAGAAGACAGGGTGAAATCCGAGGCACTCTGATAAAAGCAGGCCCTTCTTCAGGGGAGTGTCACACTGCCCTGAAGAAGGCCATGCGCGTTGGTCCCTTCTCTAATAAAGGACTTTTATCAGAGTGCCTCGGATTTCACCCTGTCTTCTTTGGAAAAGGGTATCTTTGTTTTTCAATGTCATTTTTCTTCCGGAAGAGCACCTGATTTTATTACTTTTTTGGACCCTGTAGCACTCATTCCTCCTGTTCTCTGAAGTTTTAGACATACATCTGACTGTTGCAGCAGCAGCAGTCCTGTGTCTAAGTGGCAGCATGGATATTTACATACATACAGTACAGTATAAATAGCATTTGAATAATCCAATCAGGAAGCTGTTAATTTATTGTTCACCTTGTTTCCCAGAGCGTTTCCGTTGGTTAATAATGAGTAAGAAGAGGTGGGGCTTCCACATCACCAGTGTGACGTCAGAGCTTGTTAACCAATCAGAGGCCTGTCCTCGCCGGCCACACTCCCATGATGCACTTGGACCTCGCTTCAGAGTGGTGCGGCTGGATACCCGGGGGCGGTACATGCGGGGGAGGTGGACATGTCTGGACCTGCCCACAGCAACCACGGTAACCACAAATAACTCACCACAACTACACACTACAGGGGTCCGGTGTTTATAGCAAGTATAATGTCAAAATAACCCGCAATAGGTAAAATCCACACAGCTCTATGTTTCAAGGCTGTAAAACCCCGACCACTTTATACGATCGCTAAGATATCTAGCCCATTCATTGTAGATCAAAGTGCTACATACATACGTATATACACATATATGTAAATACACACTCAGGAGACTCCACATGCCCTTATATGGTTCTGTGACATCTTCTTCAACAGGAAGTGAGAGGTCTGGGGGCAGGGCTTCGCCGTGTTATGATGATTGACAGCCAAAGACAAGCCCTATCCTTGGAGTCTCTGGAGCTGATGGAACAAGGGTGTGAGAAAGGGGCGGAGCTTGTCCACAACACCGACCACATCCCCCGGCAGAACAAGCTCCGCCCCGTGCTCCCAGATGCACAGGTAACTCTTCTTCTTCAGCATAACTTCCGGTTGGAACTAAAGCTAAAACAATTTCTGTGTCAGATGTGGAGACAGTGTCGCTCGCAGCCGTCTTCACCTCCACACAGCCCCGCCCCCAGGTGAGGTTGCCCCGCCCACACAGCCCCGCCCCCAGGTGAGGTTGCCCCGCCCACACAGCCCTACCCACAGACCGTCAGGACAATGGGCCTCATTTAACAATTACCCCACTGTGAAACGATCTCTATAGGATTCCTACCTCAAGTCAAAAAAATATCCGTACACTAATCACCTTCAGCGGCGTCCACAACCGACACGCATCAAGAGAGAAGGTGGTGAAATCACATATTTTGACAGCGAAGCATGGTCAAAGAATGGCTCATGTGCAATATTGGGTCAAGTGCAACATCAGTTCTTTGAAATGCTGGCATGTGTGCAATAACAGGATGAGTGTGATAACAGGATGTGTGCAATGTCATGGACTTCTCATAGAATACTATGGCTCACTCTTGTGAGCTGTGTTGTACTGTAAGTTTTATTATTATTATTATTATTATTCTGTATTTAACCCTGGTGTTCATGACCCCATGGGACCACAGATAGAAATTAGCCCTTGGTTTAAATCTGATGTGTTCACATTGACGTGGACTGTCCCATTAATTTAAATAAATACATAATTGACCTCATGAAAGAACACTAGAGGAAGACTTTATACTGTGTGTGTGTGTGTGTGTGTGTGTGTGTGTGTCTGTGGGACTGTAAGAATGTGCGACATGATTGGTCCAGAGGACTGAGTGGGCAGCAAATCACAGATGTCTTTGTACCAGAAAAGAGAGAGAGCGGACAAGTAGCGGCTGAGACTTCAGAAACCATCAGACTTTAAAACATTTACACAAATCAGCAACGACTACAGATACCCTGTTGGAGTACAGAGGAACTGCAGCACCATGCTAACAGATGCTAACGACAGCAGACACCCCACTGGAAGACAGAGGAACTGCAGCGCCATGCTAACAGATGCTAATGATGCCAACAACAGCAGAAGCCCCGCTGGAGGACTGAGGAACTGCAGCACCATGCTAACAAACGCTAACAATGCTAACGACTGCAGACCCAGGATACGCCTCCCGAAGACTCCGCCTCTTCCTCCCCGGGCTTTCAAACCTTTTCACCAACCGCAGCGCACCAAAGCCCCATGCCACCAACCGCAGCGCACCAGAGCCCCATGCGACCAACCGCAGCGCACCAGAGCCCCATGCGACCAACCGCAGCGCACCAGAGCCCCATGCGACCAACCGCAGCGCACCAGAGCCCCATGCGACCAACCGCAGCGCACCAGAGCCCCATGCGACCAACCGCAGCGCACCAGAGCCCCATGCAACCAATTACAGTGCAACAGAGTGTGTTTGAGCCAATCAGAGCGCAGTTTGAGCTTCCTCCTGCGCCTCTGTACCAGGTGGGCGTAGTCTCCATAGTCATCTCCCCTGATGCACAGTCTGTGTTTGGACTATGGTTGAATCTGGTCTAACCACTTTTCTTCTGTTTCAGTTCTTCCTCTGGTTCCTCCATTGATAAAAAGATTGAACAGGCTCTGGTAAGTCTCACATCAGGACTAAGTCAAGTCTAAGCCTGGACTAAAGAATCTATCTTGATCTCCTCAGGAGCTAGTGAAAATCCATGTCAGGACCGCGGTTCAGGACGAGGTCTCAGTCCTCAGAGAAACCATCAGAGACCTGGAGAACCGGAACCTTCTTCTGCAACAAGAAAACCTGATCCTGAGGAGTGTAACTGGGTCTAAACCAGGACTAAACCAGGTCTGAACCAGGCTTCAGTTTTTATGGTGGACTAACTCCTTAAGGATCCAACACAATGGGACCAGAACACTTGGAATTCTGTCTCCTAATGATCTCACATGCTCCAAACTACAGGCTGATTCTGCACTGACTGAAGCCACAATGATGAGAGGCCAAAACTACAGGTGCTCAGCTTCACAAAGAGTCCAGACTTTAGTATATGCTCCAAAGCTAGGATCAGAACGGTCTAACGCGGAACCAGACCCAGACTCTGACCGGGCCCCATGGACAAAGATTTAAAAAGCAGTGAATTCCAATTAGACTAACTATAGTTTAAGTTAAAGTTTAAAAACTGGTCATACTGAATGAGCTAATCAGGAACCAGGACAGCGTTTCCATGGCGACCATCATGAATATATTAATAAAGTATTTATCTTAAGTGTGGGACTTCCTTCTTCTAAATATGAATTCTGGATAATACATCTTTAGATTTGAAACCCATATCACGAATTTCTACAAATAAATGAATAGAGCAACAATTATAAAACAGTCGTCAGAACAACAGCAACATACGACTAATTATGGGAATTATGAGAATAAAGTCGAAGTCATAATAATATAAGATTAATCTTGTAAAAACATGAGAATAAACTATTTGATTAGATAAAAGTCAGAAAAATTCGGAGTCAGTGCATAATGAAGACGCCCCGTCCAGAGTTCACAGCAGCTCCAGATCAGAGATGTCAGAGGGTTAGCTCCAACCTGAGCTGGAGCACATCAGACTCCACACATTTCCTCAGTCCTTTCTAGAACCACACATGACCTAGTCTTGTCTTTTCATATACCCTTCATACAGACCCAATTTAATATTGAGGCTATTTGTTAAACTGTGTCTCAGCCGCAGGTGAAGTAGCCCCAGCAGCTCCTTCTCCTGCGGCTCGGACAGAGTATGTACAGACGCTGCTGCGGCACTGATGAATCAATCGTAAATAACGTGTAAAACCAATAGTGTGAGAGTGAATTAAAAGCTGCCAATTGTCATTACATGTATTTTGACTAAAACATATACTTCAAAAGATACAAATGTATTCAAATGTATGAGTAAAAGTCAAAAAATCTCATATTATTAGGACTTTTATCTCATAGAATGAAAATGTGGATGAGCCTTATGCTCCGTTGTAGCTACAGTCAGAAGCTGAGTAAGCAGTGTAAGTAAAGGATAACTGCTACAACTAAAGAAGTAGAGGAGAAAATGACTCTCAGGTGTCTCGTGTATAATCAACATTCTGTAGAAAAACAGAAAACGTTTATTTAAATTACAACAACAGAATCACAAAGTATTTAAATACATAAAGTGAGAATCATCATACCAGTGCCCCTACTGCAGCCTACAAGAGCCCGTTAGTGTTGGTGTGCAGACATTTCTCCTCGAACATGTTTTCTATTTTCAAACATAGACATCATTGAGCCGGGCAGATTTCAAACGTGTGGCCCAGGAATTTACAAGAAGACGAGTTTCTTCATTTGAACAGAGAAGGCACCTTTGTCTAAAAAACTGCTTCAACAACTACGAGCCATGTTTTTGTTTCATCCTGATTTTCTCAACTATGGAGGATGTCACTGTGGAAACTGTTCCCACTTATAATCAGAGTCAATGAGTCAGAAGCCTGGAGTTCCAGCATTACTTTGTGTAATCAGAAACCTAAACTAGCACCAGTACTACTCTGTTGCTATGAATAATCAGAGGCCTAAACTACAGTCCCAGCGCTGCCGTCTTTGGCTCAGGGTGAAGGGGGCGCTGTGGGGGCGGGGCTTCACGCAGGGGGTGGGGCATGTCTGCAGGGGGAGGGGCCTGTGGTAAGGGTCAGAGGTCAGGAGGTCAGGTCCTGCAGTAGGCGGTGCTTTTGGAGCGCTGACCAATGGAATGGCAGCTCTGGGCACATGACTCTCAGACACGTGCACGCTCACCAGGGAAGAGTAAAGGCGGTCATGTGATGAGAAGGACACGCCTACAAGAGAGAAGGACACATGGTCAGGTCACTTGGTGTCTCTGGTCACTTGGTGTCTCTGGTCACTTGGTGTCTCTGGTCACTTGGTGTCTCTGGTCACATGATGGTGTCTCTGGTCACTTGGTGTCTCTGGTCACTTGGTGACTCTGGTCACAGGTGTCTCTGGTCACAGGTGTCTCTGGTCACTTGGTGTCTCTGGTCACATGGTGTCTCTGGTCACTTGGTGTCTCTGGTCACATGGTGTCTCTGGTCACATGGTGTCTCTGGTCACTTGGTGTCTCTGGTCACTTGGTGTCTCTGGTCACTTGGTGTCTCTGGTCACATGGTGTCTCTGGTCACATGGTGTCTCTGGTCACTTGGTGTCTCTGGTCACTTGGTGTCTCTGGTCACATGATGGTGTCTCTGGTCACTTGGTGTCTCTGGTCACTTGGTGTCTCTGGTCACAGGTGTCTCTGGTCACATGGTGTCTCTGGTCACTTGGTGTCTCTGGTCACTTGGTGTCTCTGGTCACATGATGGTGTCTCTGGTCACATGATGGTGTCTCTGGTCACTTGGTGTCTCTGGTCACAGGTGTCTCTGGTCACAGGTGTCTCTGGTCACATGGTGTCTCTGGTCACATGGTGTCTCTGGTCACAGGTGTCTCTGGTCACATGGTGGCGTCTCTGGTCACATGATGGTGTCTCTGGTCACATGATGGTGTCTCTGGTCACATGATGGTGTCTCTGGTCACATGATGGTGTCTCTGGTCACATGATGGTGTCTCTGGTCACATGATGGTGTCTCTGGTCACATGATTGTGTCTCTGGTCACATGATGGTGTCTCTGGTCACATGATGGTGTCTCTGGTCACATGGTTCTAACCTCGCGTGGCTCTATTGTTGATCATCGTTCGAGTTCTTTGGTTTTTCTCCAGAGTTTCTTTCAGAGCTTTAGCTGCGTCCCATTGCTGCCCCTGAAGGACAGAGGAGGAATTACAAACACACGCATACGAACTAACCATGGATCTATAATAATATCTGGATAGGGTATTACTAGTTTACAGCTGTCCCACCTATGGGTACAGGGGGCGCCTGTGGTACTGCAGACTAAATTCACGTGGGCTACCCAGATAAAAGTCCCATAGAACTCAATGTAAATTAAAACAGCTCGACCTCAGCTGACAGAGAACCTACAGCTTTCCCAAAGATCGGATTTTGAGGGGATTTTAGTGTCCCTTTTCATCCTGAACTTTTTTTTCCTTCTTAAATCCTTCAGTTTTCTTTAAATCTACACTTTACTGCCACAAACTCTGCTGTTTTTTGCGTATTAAGCGCAACGCATCATGGGAACGCAGAACTGGGAGGACCAGACGATGCCCAAGTATAGGCAAGTTCCGCTAATCTTTCGGTCCCTGTGTATGTCCCATGCGCTACTGAGCACGAGCCATTCATTTGAATAGGTTGCCATCTTGGATCACCGGGGCTTGGAACTAACACACGCACACACTCACAAAAGGTCCTTTCTGACCCCTGGGTCCCCAAGTTAAGAACCACATCTGTGGAACATGAACATACATAAGAAGCATCACACAAACCTGCAGGGACTGAAGCTCCGCCCTCAACGCCAGCGTGGTGTTAAGCTCTGCCCCCTCTGGACACGCTGGGAGCTGATTGGTTGTCTTTACGCGCTGCTTCACTTGACCAATGGCGGAGTCAGGTGAGCGGGGCTCTGCCGTGATTGACAGGGGGGGTAGGAGGGGCTCCGCTGTGATGGACAGGTCGAGCAGGGCACAATGGGAAAGACCATTTGGACTCAGGGGGCGGGGGGGTGGCGGAAGAGGAGACGGGGGAGCGGACATCTTGAATCAGCCTGGAACCTCAGTCGTCCGTTACCTGAGGACGACTGGAACCACTTGGACCATCAACTGAAGGTACAGCAGGCGAAAACAAAAGCAGTCATGCTCACTGGTGTTTATTGGAGGTCCGTCAGTAATCCCAACTATCTACCCACAAAGTCCCGGTGCGAGGAGCACTCCCTCCAAAAGGCCGGTTCGATCCGCGACATGCTTCTGAGTGGGTTGCAGTTCCCCGGTACTGGCCCGTACGTCTGCATGGTCCACGCACTCATCGTGATAACAAGTAAAACTGAAAGCGTATAAACACACTTACTTACTTACAAAAGGTCGAGCTTGTATCCCAAACCATAAAATAAACCATTAACTGACAAACATAATGAAACAACAATGAGTTCTCTTTATTAGACCATTCAAGTCATTTCTATGTTAAATAGTTCTGCACACTGTATAAAGCAATAACAAACGCATGCAGAGAATGTCCTATACTAAACAATCAAAATACTTTATTTATTGTATTTTTTATTGGATTAATATAAGATTAAAACCAAATCAAATGACATGTAGAAAAGGGAAAATGTGTGATTGATTGTTAGTTAACTAAAATACCTAATATAATAGAAAATATTGCGATTAAGAGCAATTTAATATTTTAATTATTATCTGTGAGACTAAAGATACCGGTGAACATACCCCACCTTTAATGCTATAATAGATTTGTGCTCTGCCAGAATGAGCATTATTATTGATAAGCATTTGATCATCTTGATCATCATGATCAAAAACATGTATCTCCAACACGATTTAGGACATAATTTTCCGTAACGTTGTTCCAACGGTTCACTTCGGTAGTAGGTTATTTACCTTTCTTTAAATATCACGGATCTATAACAGTACAGAGAAATACCATGGGAGGAGTGCCTTCGGGAGGAGCACCTGCTCCTGACCAGGCCACAGACACGCTACTATGACAACAGGACAACATTACAGTGACTTTATTACATTTATTCAAATAAAGTTATACATAATAATTGTATAAACTCACCAGTTTGTCACCGTTTGTCAAGATCCGCCTGAAACTGACGTGGGTGTAGATTTAAATGATCAAAAAATAATAATAAGTGTCTTTTATCATGAATCTATGTTGTCCTCATTCGAAACTTTCACCGCAAGAATCCAGCAAGCACACTTCCGGACTACAGCTGCGCGCTTCCTGACTACAACTACGCACTTCTGATAGGGATTGCGATTTACATGCTTACGTTGCTGAATATTCGGTGCATAGATTCCGTGGGACGCAGCACGGAGTGAATCATTGTGGCGTCGCTTCTGACGTTTATGAATTCGTCTTTTACAGTGTTTTACAGCTGTTAACATTAGCCGCAGAAGCGCCGCCATCTTGAGTTTATAAAAACACAACGCCTTCTGGTGTCGATAAAGGGAGTGACATGTGCAGTAAATAACAGAATGCTGGGAAAAGCAGCAGAAAACATTAAACTGAGGATCCAATGCAAAAATATAATGGCGCCATTCCCTAACCCTGAGGATTATCACACATATCGTTATTTGTCCGTCTTGGATTTTCTTAGATTGAGTGTACGTCTCATCTGTAAATCCTGTTGGATTTTCCTGCCGTATGTTCTGTTCAGCCCATGAATTTATTATATTCAGACAGAGCCAGATTTATTTGCACTGATCATAGTTTTATATATTTATCAGTTTGAATTAAAAATACGAACCACAACATTCTTGAAACAAACTTAATTTTATTACAAATATTTTGGTGGTGAAGAAGAGTCCAGTTCCATACATGATAGAATAATATATACAGTCTATGGATGGAACTGGACTCATGTGTGATGTAATTTTGTGTAATATCACCTGTGACGTCATCGTGTATGACATTGTCATGTGTGACATCAACATAATGTTGTGCTTTTCAGAAACTTGTCAAAGAACACTGTACAAAAGACTAGTGCAAAGAGCTGTGTCCCAAAGAGCTGGCAGCTGATTGGTGGAGGAGTGACTCTTTTCACAGCTGATAGATGGAGGGGTGGGGCTTGTTTACAGCTCATTGGCTGCTTCTCTGACGATGCTGTGACTCTATTGACAATTTGACATCGTTTATATTTATAAAAGGAACAGACTAAAAGTCACATGATGCAGATCGCAGCCGCTCATTGGTCGCTCTCTGATTGTCTCTGCACTGATTGGTCAGTTATTGCTTTTTAGCTTCATGCTAAAAGCTAATGCTACTTGTAAAATGCCACAAAAATGTCCTCCAAACAGTGAAAGACCAATCCCCAGACTAGATCAGGCTAGTGAATTTTAAACCAGTTTAAACCACAGTGCCCCGGACTACTGCAGCTTAAACCAGTTCAAGCCACTCTGGGGGGAATCTTCCTCCACAAAGCATTTTCATAAATTAAAAAGTATAAAAAGGTCTGCATCCGCTCACTATGATTCACATACAAAACATGCTACATTTGACTTTTACTTGAAAAATGTATGTAATCAAGTAAGTCAATGAAATGTATTGTGGTGCCATCAGATACCATTAAAACTTTGCTGCTAAGCAGGACAGGGCCTGGTTAGCACTGTGATGGAAGACCTCTAAGAACACCAGGTGCCTCAGTGAGGCGGCTGTGGCTATAAATTGCCTAGAATGAGTCTGTGTGAATGGTTGGTGTGGGAGGGGTCAATGACATATACAGGTTGTCTCGCTTCTGCCACTGTACTCGAGGGCAGCTGTGGCTACAGGAGCAGTATTTCACCAACATCAATGAATGATGTGAACTGAGTGTTCAAGAAGTGCTCTATAAAACCTATTTATCATTATTAATTTGTTTGTAAAATCAATTTCTGTAATGTTGTACATTTGTACTGTGAGTAAATGTGTTTATACAGGATACAGTCATGTATCACCTGTACTCTAAGGCTTTTGGATCTGTGTTCTCTGCTGAAGACTAACATCTCCAGCTGCAGTGATGTTCTCTTGGTTGTTGTCCGGATTGCTTCTGGATGGTTCTGGTATGGTCTGGTTGGGCACTCCTGGTTCCATTTGCTCTTGGTTTGGTCCGAATAGTCCTTGTTGGGCACCCATAGGTCTGGGTCAGTGCTCGTTGGGCATGTGTCTGATGGTGTGAAAGATCCAGTCCATTTTTGTGCTCCAGCCGCCATGGTGAGCGTCGTTCATCTGTTTGCTGAAGTACTCCAGCGCCTCCTGCTGGCTCTTCTCTGCAACAACAACAGCAGATATTAAATATAAAGTCCGCCGTGACTTTGTGACCAAAGGTTCCTTCTCCGGAGCACTATTGAGGATTGCAAGCATCATATGCATGGATCTATGATCACAACTGGATAGGGTATTACTTGCTTATGGCTGTCCCACCCACGGGCACGGGGGGAACCTGCGGTACTGCAGACTAAATTCACGCAGGCTACCCAGAAAAATGTCCCATGGACGTCAATGTAAACTAAAACAGCTCAACATCAGATGACAGAGAACCTACAGCTTTCATAAATGTTGGATTTTGTGGCAGTGTCCCTTGTCATCCTGAACTTTTTTTCTTGTTAAAGGACAACTCACCCTCAAATCGACTTTTTTTTGCTGATAAACGGTATAAATGAGTGTCCAATAGTGTTGTCTACATATCCTGGTCATAATCTTGTCACTTTGGTGCAAATTAGTTGAAAGTTAGACTTTCTGCCTAAAACCGTCTGTGAGGCGCCATCTGCTGGCGACCTGTATTACTACATTTGAATTTTGAATCTGGCGCCAACACTGGCACAGAAGTTGGACCTGACGTCTGCAAGTTGGACCTGACGTCAGCAGCCCCCCGCCCAGAGCAATGTAAACGGCCCAGTCTCGTTCACGCCCCCTTTAGTCCTCCAGGCTACGCCCATTTAGAGGAAGATTTGAACAGGAAATGTGAGTGACGTAAGCTCCGAGGAGCGGGGGTGAGAACCACTTTAAATCCATCGGTTTTCTATAAATCCACACTTTAGTGCAACAAACTCTGCTCGATTGTCTCCCGCTCCGACTCGCTCGTTTTCATTCTGCTCTAGCTCCGCTCTAATCAGCAGCCCCTGATAGGTCAGAACGCTGCCATACTCCTCTGTGCACGTGCATGAGAGCCACATAGGCATGTTCGTTAGTCTGGGGGATCTGAGATCATTCTAAGCAACAGTGATCTCCCCTCTGCAAGTGTCCCTGCCGGGGTCAATGCGCCAAACAATAAATCCTTTTAAATGCATTCACGTGTTTGTTTTGGTCTCTCCAGATTGAAATGCACATGAGGCTGATTTACAGTGATCTGGTCTTACCCAGGGCCAAAGTCTTCCGCAGATATGCAATGTCGTCGAAGCTCTGCAGCTCAGGCATCCCGCTCCCAAGCATCAGGGAGAAAAGGTTTATGAAGAGAGAGGCGTGGCTTCTGATGGCCAGGTACGCCCCATAGCACATCTCCTGGAACCTGCAACACACCAAGACCAGGCTTAAGACTAAGACCAGGACCAGGACCTGAGGGAGAATAGGTTTAGGAAGAGAGAGGCGTGGTGTCTGATACACCCTGTAGCACATCTCCTGAACCCTGAACAGATATTTTATTCCGAGACTTGTTTATACTTGCTTTAGAAATGTTGTACACTTGTTTTAGACCTGCTTTAGTCCTGCTCCAGACCTATTCCTGCTTTAAAACTGTTTCCTGCTTCCGACACACTTAGTCCTGCTTCAGACCTGTTTTATACCTCATTTAGTTCTGCTTTAGACTGTTATACCTGCCCTTGACCTGCTCTTGGCCTGATTTAGTTCACGTTCTAGTCCCGGTCCAGTCCTAGTCCAGTCTCAGTCCAGGTCCAGACCTTTGGAACTCCTTGGTCTTGGTGGACTCCTGTGCTCCTTTACTGATGACAATGAGGAAATCCTGTGTCAGGACGAAAGGAACTCGTTCTCGTTTGTAGCCAAACTTCTTCTTCTTATGATCCAAGAAGTGTCCAAAGTCTATGTGGAAGAGCTGTGGAGAGAGACCAGAAAAAGTCTGAACTGGGTCTGATCCAGGCCTGGATCGGGTCTGAATCAGGTCTAGACAGATTCCGAACCAGGTTTGGTCTGGGTCCAGACCAGGTCAGGGCTCACCTGGCCGTTCTCCTTCACCATAATGTTGGAGTTGTGTCGGTCTCCGATGCCGAGGATGAAGGTCGCAACGCAGTAACCGGCACAAGAACGAGTGAAGAGGTCTATGGCCCGGTCATATCTGTGGAAAGGAGAGCACCCAGTCAGTTCTGTGGAAAGGAGAACACCTAGTCAGGTCTGTGGAGAGGAGAGCACCCAGTCAGGTCTGTGGAGAGGAGAGCACCTAGTCTGGTCTGTGGAAAGGAGAGCACCTAGTCTGGTCTGTGGAAAGGAGAGCACCTACAGAAGTTCTCTGACGACTCTGCCATCATCGGACTCAGCTCCGAGGACGATGACACAGAGTACAGAGGAGTTATACAGGACTTTGTGGACTGGTGTCAGCGGAACCACCTCCTCATCAACGCGGGGAAGACCAAGGAGATGGTGGTGGATTTCCGCAGACGTCACTCAGCCGCTCCAGCTCCAGTGAACATCCAGGGAAAGGGAATTGAGAGAGTGGACTCTTACAAGTACCTGGGTGTTCATTTGAATCACAAACTGGACTGGACTCATAACACAGATGCTCTCTTCAAGAAGGGCCAGAGTCGCCTCTACCTACTGGGGAGGCTCAGGTCTTTAGGAGTGCAGGGGCCACTCCTGAAGACCTTCTATGACTCTGGTGGCATCAGCCATCTTGTACGGTGTGGTCTGCTGGAACAGCAGCATCACAGAGAGGGACAGGAAGAAGCTGGACAAGGTCATCAGGAAGTCCAGCTCAGTCCTGGGCTGTTCCCTGGACACAGTGCAGCAGGTGGGGGACAGGAGGGTCCTGAGCAAACTAACATCTATGCTGGACCATGACTGTCACCCCCTGCAGGACACTCTGCTCTGGAGAGCAGCTTCAGTGACAGACTAATTCACCCTCGCTGTGTGAAGGAGAGGTTTCGCAGGTCTTTCCTTCCTGCTGCTGTCAGACTGTACAACGAGAATGTGTAACAGGAACTGCTGAGTCTGCACAAATGTCACTGATAATTCACTAGTAACTTTGTCACTAGTCACTTCACCTGTTATCAGTACTACTGTATTATTACATATCTGATAATTCTGCCTTTCACCGTCACTTTACCTGTTGATATCTTACTGTATTATTACATATCTGATCATTCTCCCATTCAAGTCACTTTACCTGTTGATATTATTTCTGATGTTTATTCTGCTCATATTCATATTCTCATATTCTCCGCTGCTAATGTATAATATAGACATCTGTAAATACTCCGAACCAAGTGCAATTATAGCCCAGAGTTTCTCTTATTTTATTTTATCTTAAATTGATTGTCTATCAATGGTGTAGGTTTGGTTCCAATCTTGGTGGGGACATTCACTACGACCTGAGTCTACACCCATTGACACGGGGTCCAGAGTTTCTCCCCCAGAATTTGTTGTGTAATCACACACTATATTTGCAATAGTGTGTTGCCTTCTATACTAAACTCAGCTGTAGACTGAATGAGAAGCAGTTAAGGATTTTTTCTAATAGTTAAAACAAAATCAATTGGATCAGAGCTTCTGAGTTTTGTGTTGCGTTCATTCTATACTGACTTAAACCTAATCCAAATCTACTTAATAGCCCTCACCTGAGGCTCTAACAGTTCAGGAACTGCTCTCGATACTTGAAATAAATCATGCTCTGATCTTTCAATTTCCTATAATAAATAAAAACAGAGGAGAAAATATTGAATTAGAATCTACAGTGAGTATCTCACTACATTGTTTGACATATGCGATCAATCTCTAAAAACAATTCATAGTCCCATGCATACCTACAAAATTCCAACCTCACCTGATGCACTGAAGGGCCTGTTGCTTCTACCTCAACATTCCCTATTTTGTTCTCTCTTGTTGGTTGAGTTTCCTATGTATGTTAACAGAAGATTAATCATCACAATTCATAATTTGCTATTACTTGTGCTTTCTCTTACTTACTTTCCAACTGTTAAAAAAGATCCTGATATCTTTTATCTTATTTTGTGGAGGTGGCATTTTTTCTAAATTATATAAGAAGGTATAGAAAATCAAAAACAGACATTCATATACATGAACTGCAGAATCATTTATATAACTTGGCCAATGTCAAAAGTTACATAGTATTTCTCAATACAATGAGTTAACAAGAGTTTGGCAATAAGTAACAGTGTGGATTTTTCTATATTTTCTTTTTTTTATTCCACTCTCTACCCAAAAAGGCAAGTAATGACTCACAGGGTTCTCAAGTATGCAAAATAAAAACTTAAATGACCTGTTGTGGTGTGTTTTGCGCACAACCAGCATGCATCGTTAACGCAATGGAAAATTTACGTATCCGAGCTTTAATTTCGGGAGCGCTGGTTGCGCTTTGGGAAGAGTCAGGGGAGAGACATGTCAGAGACACAGGGGAGAAACGGGGGAGATACGAGGGAGACCCGCACTTGCAACATGGTTCTGTCTGCATATGGTCCGAGCTCGGTACCATGTTAGAGCTGTGCTTTCACTGAGCGCCGCGGCTGTCATTACAAAGCGGCAGCAGCTGCACCAGGACGTGCACATTCGAGTGCATCGCTTGAATGTGCTTAGAGCAAATAACAGCAAGTGCCCGCTGTCACACATTTCACACAAATTACATTATCAGCAGATAAAGGTTGTAAATCGTGGATCCGTGGAATATTTTCATCCCTAGTTTATCCTGATTCACACAACACACCCACTTATACATTTTGGATAGTAAGAGCACAATAAGTATTTTCTCAGCCTTTCAACCAACCTGTTTCTTTATTGGAGCCAGTTCTGTTCTGTCTCTGTGCCGTGTGAGCTCCTCGGAACATTAAACAGTGCGCTGACAGATTAGAAATAACGTAAGTACTTTGAATGGTAATAGATCTACAGTACTTTCCTCTGATTACTCACGTGCTACAACGCTCAGGGAACGAAATAAAACACTTGCTTCACGCTGGCTAACTTTTAAAAATTAAACAGTTGCTCAGTGCTTCAGTTTGGCGCTGAAGAAGACAGCCAATCACTGCAGAGAACGGAACGGGTCACGTGCTGCTGCTGCTGCTGTTGCTCTGGAGGCGAGGAGGAGGCGCGACGTATGCACAAACGGAAGACATGTATCCCGGACCGTCCGGGTCCCGGGACATCCCCATGGTCCCCACGCAAACCTACGCCCTTGTTGTCTATTATCTTAAATAATAGACTTTGTGCAATCTGAGTGCTCTTATTTCCTTTCTCTGCTGTAATGTGCGCAACGATGACACTGAAATTTCTCCACTGTGAGACTAATAAAGGTTTATCTTATCTTAGTCAGGTCTGTGGAGAGGAGAGCACCCAGTCAGGTCTGTGGAGAGGAGAGCACCCAGTCAGGTCTGTGGAGAGGAGAGCACCCAGTCAGGTCTGTGGAGAGGAGAGCACCCAGTCAGGTCTGTGGAAAGGAGAGCACCTAGTCAGGTCTGTGGAGAGGAGAGCACCCAGTCAGGTCTGTGGAGAGGAGAGCACCCTGTCATGTCGGTGGAGAGAAGAGCACCCAGTCAGGTCTGCGGAGAGGAGAGCACCCAGTCAGGTCTGTGGAAAGGAGAGCACCTAGTCAGGTCTGTGGAGAGGAGAGCACCCAGTCAGGTCTGTGGAGAGGAGAGCTCCTAGTCATGTCTGTGGAGAGGAGAGCTCAGCCAGAAGTCACACACTCTGGATGTGCATTTGTGAAACTACCACAAACGCATCAACTGCACACGACCGTGAGGACCAGAGGTGGTTGAAACGCGTCCCTGGTCTCCATGGCCTCCCTGGTCTCCATGGCCTCCCTGGTCTCCATGGCCTCCATGGTGAGACCATATGCCAATGAGTACAGGCCATTAATTAAAAGGAGAGACATTGGATCACCGGGGCTTGGGTGAGAGTGACTTACGCCTCCCCTCGGTTCTTCTCTTTAATCCAGTGATGCAGAGTGTTGGAATTGAACTGCAGCGCCCCCTTCAGGCCTCCTTTACACTGGATCTGCATGATGGTGTAGCTGTTCTTCACCGCTTCAATCAGTCCCACGCAGTCTCCGATGGAAAGGCAGCCGTACGGAAGCATCCTGTTGAAAATACATGTCATATATAATGTATATATGCAATAATGTATAATATATATGTAATACATTTTACATTTGAAGTATATGGCCTTGATCCTGGTCTGGTCCTGGTATCAGTCTCGTCCACAATGCAGGGTGAGTTACTAGTCCTGGTCCTAGTCCTAGTTCTAATCCTGGATCTGGTCTCGGTCCTGCTCCTGGTCTGGTCCTGGTTCTGGTCTGGTTCTGGTTCTGGTCCTGGTCTAGTTTTGGTTCTGGAGCTGGCTCTGGTCTGGTTCTGGTCCTACCTTAGGTCCAGACCCTGGTTCTGCCAGATGTTCTCCATGATTTTAATGATCTGCAGAGTCAGCATGTCCTGCCTCAGGTCTGTAACAAGAGGGCGCTGTTACACACACACGACCTTTATTACACACGCACACACACACATATTTAAACACACAAACAGAGGTATAAACTGATGCACACACGCACACACATTAGGGCTTTTACTGTTGCACAAGATTCATATTTAAAGTTTGATTGTTATTATTATTATTAATTTTAATATTCAAATATATATGAATATTTAATCATAACACATTATTCATCTCACACCACAGCAGCAGTAGAACGCTCCATTGATTTGAATGTAATTTCAAAACGTTCCACAGATCATTATTTCTTGACAACGAACTCTCAAACCAATAATGACAGCTGCCCTTTGGCAACGCACTCTGTGCTTGTAATTCAGGTGTGTAAAATACTAAGATTACTCTGGACAGTAGTTTGGACACTTCGTCACAATGGGCTAAGTCAATACTACTCTCCCTAAAACCTTCAAACAAGGTCAGAAATCTAGGGGTAATACTGGACTCAGACTTCAATTTTAATAGCCACATCAAATCAGTAACATCAGCAGCTTTTTACCATCTAAAAAACATTGCCAGGATCAAAAACATAGTGTCTAAAGCAGACCTGGAGATTCTTATCCATGCATTTGTCTCCAGTAGGTTAGACTACTGCAATGGCCTGCTCACAGGTCTGTCCAAACAGGCTGTAAAACAGCTGCAGTACATTCAAAATGCAGCAGCTCGAGTCCTGACTAGAACCAGGAAGTACAACCACATTAGTCCAGTCCTCAGGTCTCTGCACTGGCTTCCTGTGGCTCAGAGAATAGACTTTAAAACAGCTCTGCTTGTGTACAAGTCTCTCCATGGCCTCGCACCAAAATACATGTATATTAGTGACATGTTAGTCCCATATGAACCAGCCCAGACTCTGAGGAGCACAGGGACTGGACTCCTGTTAGTGCCCAGAGTCAGAACTAAACATGGGGAGGCTGCTTTTCAGATTCATGCTGCTAAAATCTGGAACAGTCTTCCTGAAGATGTGAGACAGGCCTCCTCTCTGACAATGTTTAAAACCAGGTTAAAGACAGTTCTGTTTAGCTGTGCATACAACTGAGGGATTTTATATTTTAATATATTTTTAAAAAAAATTCTTAATGTACTGTGATTATTTATGCTTTCTTGTTTTGTTCAGCACTTTGAATTGCCTTGTGTATGAATTGTGCTATACAAATAAACTTGCCTTGCCTTGCCTTGCCTTACTTCTGTCTCAGAGAAGCTATCGGAGCTCGCCACCTTCAAAGAACTTAAATAACAATCAATCAACACACAGTGGCTGAGTGGATAGCACTCTCGCAAGAAGGTCCTGGGTTCAAATCCCGGTCGGAACAGGGTCTTTCTGAGGACAGTTTGCATGTTCTTCCTGTGCCTGCGTAGGTTTCCTCTGGGTACTCTGGTTTCCCCTACCACTAAAAACATGCTCACTAGGTTAAATCATCCAGTTCCGGTCCTGACCAAGCCGAGCATCAACATCTGGAGATGGGTTCCCGGGTGCTGTACCACGGCGACCACTGCTCCTGACGTAAGCTTTCGTGGCATCAGGAAGGGTCAAATGTAGAGGATTGAATTGCCCTACGGGGATTAATAAAGTGCACCTTTACCTTTACCTTAAATGTCAATCGAAGAATCATCTCTTTTCATGACAGAAATACTGTTTTAATGCGTCAAAAAGCAATCGCGGCAAACCAGGAAGTAGCCATTAACATTAATAGAACATTTTTGGACACATTTGCAGAGGATCTGATTATGGATTTAGGTTGAGTTTATATTCGGGTCACTCACCGCTCATGTTCACAATTTATTGTTCCCTTTCATGTTGTTCCAGAGAGTTCTAGTTTTGAAGCAATTAGCCTAGCTGGTACCCTTCAAGCCACGTCACCGAAACTTTTGGGAACTAACTATTTTATATATATCATTTAAAAAAGATAATGCCCATTACAGCTTCAATAAGGGCTGTTTAATACTTGTTTGAATATATATACTTAATATTCGAATTATATTCGATAACTGAAATTTGAGTCAAAGCCCTAACATACACACACACACACACACACAAACAAATACACACAAAGGCATACTGTAAACCGATGCACACAAAGACGCACACACACACACACACATATACATACAAACACACACACATACCGTCCCCGTTCTTGAAGATGATCTCGTTGTTGGTGAACAGCAGCTCTGACATAATGTCGGGATTTTCCCAGTTCAACCACAGGGGGCGCTTTGCCGATGACAGGATCCGGCACTCGTCCAACCTGGACAGAGGAGAGAGAGTTTTCAGTGTTGTATGGTGTTTCACCCAAATTGTTATCACACATCAAAATCAGCAAAAATGGGACCTTTAAAGATGCAGTCAGTGATTTTTTTCCAGACAACATTGTTTTAATATTGTGGGAAAACGTCCCTAAACCCTAAAAGTAGTCAAGTTATCATGTGTCATCAAATACTAATGGAATTGACCAGATGCCTGTAGTCTCCAAAAATTAATAAAAAACATTTTGGAGTGGACCAATAAAAATAAACCAACAGGATTTGTTCATCCCCAACGATCCAATGGCGTTTACCCTCTTCCTGTTTCTCTTGAGTGCACCTGAGTAATCGGATTTTCTAAAGCCTAAAATGGCTCATGAGAAATAGCCAATTTCACGTGTGCCGCCCACTCTCTCTGTTGTAACAAAGAAAAGAAAATGCTGGATGTTTGGTGCAGAGGCGAGGGGAGGGGGAAGTGGTTTCGAGTTCCACGGCTAACATCACTTACTGCACCTTTAAGCAGAAACATTTCAAAATGTGTTTCAGTGTCAGTGGGGATGGCCCATTACACAAAATATGAATTTGATTTGCCAAATTAGACTTTTTATACTTTTTATAAGAAAGAAGGGAGCAGGTTAACCTGGCAAGAGCCAGATTGATGATTGTGTAGAACTCTAATGCGTTCTCCACAATATCAATCTGGGACTTCTGCAGGAGAATCCTTTCGGGGAAAGGAGGGATAAGCAGCAGAATACTTCAAGCTGATTGGGCGAAGTGACGCTGTGTGCCCGCCTACCAAGGTTTGACTTAAACCAATCCCGGTAACATTATGTCGTCATCGGCGTGCACAAAGCGCCTCTCGCTGTTCATCTTTCAAAAAAGAAATTGGAGATTCTGCTAAAACTGACTTAATAGCCTCAGCTACGCGTCCGTCCTCCTCAAGCCCCGGCGATCCAAGATGGCGCCCTATTCAAATAAATGGTTGTGCTCAGTGGCGCTTTGTGACGGCATGGGGGCTGAAAGATTAGCGGAAGTTGCCTGAAACTCGCAAAGATCCATGGGAAACTCGCCTGTATTTGGGCATCGTCTGGTTCTCCCGGTTCTGCGCAGTGGATGATCTCCCATAATGCGCTGCGCCAAACACGCGTGTGTGGGTCTCACACCGGGTCTCACGCACGTGCACAGAGGGGCTCGGCCGCGCTCTGACCAATCAGAGCAGTTCATCAGAGCGGGAGTTAGAGCGAGAGCCAGACGAGCAGAGTTTGTGGCACTAATGTGTGGATTTAAACAAAACCGAAGGATTTAAGAAGAAAAAAAGTTCAGGATGACAAGGGACACTAAAATCCCCACAAAATCCGACCTTTATGAAAGCTGTAGGTTCTCTGTCAGCTGAGGTCGAGCTATTTTGATATGCATTGAGTTCTATGGGGAAAATTTCTGGGTAGCCCACGTGAATTTAGTCTGGTTCAGTCTGCAGTACCGCGAGAATCCCCTGAGCACATGAGTGATTCAGCTACAAGCTAGTAATACCCTATCCAGTTAATATAATAGATCCATGGTCCTCCTGCGTAGCCATGTTTGTTTTGCTTCAGCCCGGCACTTCTTGCTTTCGTCAAACCCGGATACCCCACCCTAAACCCCCAGACTGGCGTGTGATTGGCTTGAACACCTAGATGTTCTACTCGAAAAGGGTTGGCGGGAGCGGGACAAGATGTATTCTCGAGTGTTTGTGAACTCACAAATACCGCGAGAATTCAGCTTGCAGGCAAGGTTAGGAGCAGGTGGCTTTATGACGGAGCCCCTGCTGGACCTCTCCTCTGATTCGACTCAGTGATGGCATAGCATGAGACCCTGTGTGCTCTAGCATTTAGAGAAAAGAGGTGCAGGGGAAAGCAGGGTAGGGTCATAAGGGATACATGTAAAAAGTTAATTTTGTCTTCTTGTGGGTCAAAAGCAAGTTTGGAAGATCGCAGTGGTGGGGGAGATGTGAATGAGGGATGAAGAGGCGGAGCTGATCAGTGTTTGAGTGATGGGGATGTGGACGAATGAGAAGGAGGTGGGTGGTTTTTGGGTAATGAAACAGGGGGAGGTGGATGATTTTTTGTTAGCGGGAGGAAAGGGGAGGGCTTAGTTTAGGATTTTGTGGATGAAGGGGTAGAGTTGGATGCCCTGGGTAGCTTTGTAGGTACGTATGGGAAATAAATCTGGCTAATGTGGGTGTGAGGACTTCCTCACCAATTGTATTATGCTTGCAGAGTGTTTAGATAAGGTGAATAGTAATGACAGGGATGAAAAACCAAGGGAAAGGAGTGGATGTAGTGGGGGAGACACAAGACTGGTCCATGGACAGAAGGGTGATTGGGGAGAAGCTGTGATGAGCGATGATGGTGGTATGTCTGGAGCTGTTTTTGATTGAGATTGTTCTGTATCTGCAACAGCTGCCTCTGTGGGTGGGATCTCTCCTGGTGATGTTGATTCGATCTCTGGAGTCTGCAGTTGAGACTTCCTTTAGATTCAGTTTATTTGCCATATGTGCACAGTACCTGTAAAGTGATTGGCTTTGAGTGTTCAGAGCCCATCAAAAGCAGCTGCGTGTTCCACAGGAACACATGTGTCTTGGCCTGGGTGCGGGGGTTGCACCTTTGCCGTGAGTTTGGGGCTCCACACTTGAGGTAAGTCGCTCGTTTTCCAGCCTTCATTCTTCGCTTTCTGCCAAAGCTGAGTGTCAAACTGTTTTCTCCAGACCCTGAGCTGCAGCTGGGACAAGCCCGTTATCCACAACAGCTCTCCCCCTCTTCCTGGTGTCTGCTCCAAACTATAGTTTGGGTTCAATTACAGTTTTAAAATGTGTGTCTCGTCTTCAGGATCTCAAATACAGTTTTCCAGAACCAGGGCTGCCGCGTTGAAATGGAGATGTTTTGTCCAGTTCTGTCCATCTCTGTCTCATCTGTCCATCCAAGGTGCTGACGCTAGAAACGCTAGAAACGCTAGAGCGCACGCAGGGTGTTGGTCCGTAAACCACCTACCAATGTTGGAAACAAAATTTAAAAACTTCCTATTGCTACACCCTCACATCACACCTGCCAATCCATTGACGAGGTGCTGGTGGTGCTACTGATGGGGTTGAATTTGTCTCTGGGGGAAATGGCTGCTGCCACTTTGGTTGACACCCTTCCTTGACGAGGTGCTCGGGCCGGAGGTGTTGAGGCATCCCTTGGGGGAGGTGGAGTTGGTATTGATGTTGTTTCTTGGAGATACTGTAGTAGTTGAGGTCCTGCTCTTTTCAAACAGTGTTTTAATACTTGGCTTATTCCTCTCACTCTCTGACAGCCGGGGACCTGCAGGCCCACTCTGATGCCTCAACTATGGGCCATCCATCCATCCATCCATCCATTTTCTACCCTTTAATCCATTTCTGGGTCAGGGGGGTGGCAGTCAGAGATGCCACCCAAGTCTCATAGCACCAGCCCCTCACTGACCCTCTGCAGGTGGTGAGTCCACAGGAGGACGGCTGCTCTGACTGTGAGCATAGCCTTGATCTTTCAGTGGGGGCTTTGGGCAAAGTGGGGTTAAGTGTCTTGCCCAATGACACAACGACAGCAGTCATCAGTGGGAGTATGGATGACTCCCACTATGGCCCATAGTGGGAGTCATTCCTGCAAAACAGGTTTTTATACGGGGCAGCACGGTGGAACTCTCACTTTGACAGCAAGAAGGTCCTGCGTTCGAATTTCGGTTGGAACGGGGCGTTTCTGAGTGGAGTTTGCATGTTCTCCCCGTGTCTGCGTAGGTTTCCTTCAGGTACTCCTGTTTCCCTACCACTTAAAACATGCACAATAGTTCAGGGTGAATGAGTGTGTGATTGTGAGTGTGACTGTGGGACGACGGATGGAAATTAGCCCAAGACTACAACCTGGAGTACTGTCTCAACCAAATAAACAATTTTCAACAAAAGATGAAAGTTCTAAAAGTTATCAAAGCAGCCCTCTTCATGGGCACTCTTTGCAGAGCTGATGCAGATGAGTAAATGTATGGCTCCGTCCATTAATATTTGGTAGGGGTCCATGTTCAGTCTCTTTAAAAGGAAAAGACAAATCCTCTTTCCATTTTTCTGTTTCCTCTTTATGGATATGAAGAGCTTTCACATGGATTATTCCAAATGTAACTCCTTGAAGTTGTTGATAGATCCAACAGTGGCTACACAAAAATTGATTTGTCTTCTATTTTTTCCTCTTTTCTATCTTCTTCTGAAATTTTTTCTTGCTCCAGTTGTCAGAATCACAAAAAAAACTCAAAAAAGTACAGAGAGAGCAACAAGAAAAAACAACAGCACTCTCCAGAGGCAAAATAAGCAAATTAATTCATAAAACATATTTGGTTGACTGTATGTGTATAATGATATGGTTGGCTTATTTTCCCATTTTTAAAGTTTATATATTTTGTTTCATTCAATAACATTGTATTGATAGTTTGTTAACAGGAAATTAGCGCCTATAGGATTGTAAATTCACTCTCTACGGTTTCTAAGAGCTTCCCAGAACAGGACAACCTCACATCGAATACACATACAATGTATAGCAACAGCAGTAGTAGCAGTAATTCCCAATAGCAGTAGTAGTAGTAATACTAGCAGCAACAGTAGTAGTAGTATAAGTATTTCCCAGTAGCACTAGCAGTAGCAGCAGCAGCCTTACCTCAGCGACCCCAGCTGATGCACTGGATTTAGCGGGGACACGAACCCCTGCAGAGCCTCCATGTAATCAGGACGGGACATGTGTTCAACCAGGAACTTCATCTGCACCTACAGCCAATCACATCGCTACGTTAGAGGGTTAAATATATAGGTTTGAAAGTGTTGCAGCTGTGGTAATGACTGCACTCACCTTCTGGGTCTCGTCTTTCTTCTCCTGCTTCAGAGTGTCCGTGAGGTTCACCAGTTTGTCCATCGCCTCCACCTGCAAGAGATTTACAATCTGAGCTTTAACTGCAGAGGAACAGGCTCCTTGCAGATTTCCTACAGAACCTACAGTGGCCTGAAAAGTATTTATGTAATTTTCTCACACTTTTACATTAAATGAAGTAGGATCCAAAGATCCCAGAAACAGTTGAAGAAACAGTTGTATTAAATACATTAAATCTTCTCATTGCATCTTTACACCATAGTTGTAAAACTCCATTATGAACCTTTTCTGCAGCACGCGGGAGCCTCTTCAGAACGCGTGTGCGGTGGAGGGACGTTGGTTTACATTTCAGGGCTACCGTGTCACGTGAGGAGAGAATTTGGATTTTTCAAAGTAAATGCTTGTTTAGACTTGGAAAATAACCATGGAAATGAATTATCTTTCCTTCACGCCCCGGTTTGAATGTCCCGGGGCCTGGGGGTCGACCACTGTTGTCATTGTTGCAGCCTCTATCCTCTTTTTAGCCTGAACTGTCTGACAGGTCGTCTCAAGTTTGTCATGTAACTGAGGGTTTCTCACAAACAATTCAACTTTGGTCTCATCACATCAGTCCGCAAAATATTTTGCCAGTAGTTCTGTAGAATGTCCAAGTGCCTTTTCGTGGATGTTGAACGCGCAGCAGGGATTTTTTTCAACTTAGACATGGCTTCTTCCGGAGAGTCCTCTCATGTGTCTCAAGTGTTTTACATGTACACTCACCGGCCACTTTATTAGGTACATCTTTCCGTCGTGGTGAAGAGGGAGCTGAGCCAAAAGGCAAAGCTTTCGATTTACCGGTCAATCTTCGTTCCCTCCCTCACCTATGGTCATGAGCTTTGGGTAATGACCGAAAGTACGAGATCGCGGATACAAGCGGTCAAAATGAGCTTCCTCTGCAGAGTGGCTGCTCCCTTAGAGATAGGGTGAGGAGCTCAGTCACACGGGAGGAGCTCGGAGTAGAGCCGCTGCTTCTCCACATCTGTTCAGGATACCTCCTGGACGCCTCCCTGGGGAGGTGTTCAGAGCACGTCCCATCGGTACGAGTCCGGGTAAGACCCAGGACACGCTGGAGGGACTATGTCGCTCAGCTGGCCTGAGAAAGCCTTGGGGGTGTCTCTGGTTAGACTGCTGCCCACGCGACCCGGCAACGGATGATGCGGAAGAAAATGGATGGATGGATTATCGTTAAGTCCCGCCTTCTTTTATCTTAGCTATGGCTCAAAATCCTTGATGCCCTCCTCCTGGACCAATCAATCAACCTGGCTGTCAATCATCACGAGTGCCATAACTGCGCTCAGTTGTTTGTTTTTACGGAGCCTCCGAATCAAGCCTCCATTTGTCCCGAGTGCAGCCATGGATCAACACTCAAGAGCAGAAGATACCCATTTCATGTGTCCCTCCTACCTCCGATAACTTCATTGTTGACACTGGTTGCTTTCTCTCTATCCTCCGCACATCTTGGCCCATTGACCGGCTTCAAGACCAGTCAGAAAGGAAGGGGGAGGGAGCTTGGGTCGGGGTTTTTTTTCACATCATGTACCTCTCTCTCTTTTTTCTGACAAAGTCCAGACTATCACTTTAAGCAAATCAACAATTCTTGATTGCAGGTCTCCAAAGATAGCACACATATCTGACTTATGTAAAAATAAAAATTATTTTCTCTCAGAGTCATTCTTCGTTTGTCAGTGTTTACATGTTATTTCAGGCCACTGTAGTTCCCCTCGTCTTCCTTCACCTGCCGGTTCAAATGCTTGAGGTACATCCCACAGGCCCCACCCCCTCACCTGCCGGTTCAAGTGCTTGAGGTACATCCCACAGGCCCCACCCCCTCACCTGCCGGTTCAAGTGCTTGAGGTATATCCCACAGGCCCCACCCCCTCACCTGCCGGTTCAAGTGCTTGAGGTACATCCCACAGGCCCCACCCCCTCACCTGCCGGTTCAAGTGCTTGAGTGATATTGGAATGTAACTTAAGTTATCATTTTGGTAAATCATTTGTGGCTGAATTCTATACTGTCTGTATTGTAATCCACTGTTGACTTTAGAGTGCTTGGGGGTTGTATGCAGATGCCAGGAGGAAGCAGGTTTTGAGGATGCTAATGTCTCACTGTTCTTTTGTTGTGTTGGTTTCTTCCTTTCCCATCTGCATACGAAGGTGTGTCTTGCTCTACCAAAAGGGGCTTGTGGACTGTGAATCTTGAGACTTGTCCTGAGAGAGGCTGGGGTCTGTGCCTTGCCTCTGTCAAGACATTCTCCTTGTACAATGTAACAAGTAAAAGATTAAAGCTGCACTAACTGACTTTATTTTTGTATTCATTACGAAAATGCTATCCATGTCCGTGTAGGGCATTGGGATATACGTCCTTTTGACGAAAAAGTAGCGCAGATTTGTGCTGGAGTGACATTATATTTTAGATCGAGTTTTGATGAAACAAGGAAGAGAATGTGTTTCGGGTCGCGGATTGTGACCAATCACCGCGGACCACTGGCCCCCACTTTTGTGAGAAATCTACAGGTCTCCGTTAGCATAGACGGCTGAGTTAGCACAACAAGACGAGGAGCTAACCTGAAGCTTCGTCTCTTCATCACCGGTTACTGCTTACACAACGAAACAGCCATCCAAAAGAAAGTCTCGTTCCTCCGCGCTTCCCGGTTCTATCGTTCTATGGTCACGCCATCCACGTGCAAATCCATATTCATGTATTATCCATATTGGGAGACGCTAGCTCCGTCCCAACAGTGAGTGTGTGTGGGGGGTGATAGCTTCGTGGGTGCGGGGAGGGGAGCAGAAAGAGCGAGGCCAGCGGGTCTGCTGCTTCAAATTCCCAAAGTCAGTTAGTGCAGCTTTAACTTTGTCTCTTTGTTGTGTGAGATTTCATCAGGTTCAACTGTAGCTGAAACAGCATTATCACTTGGTCCTTCGAATCCGGCTCGAAGGACCAAAATATGTGAATAAACTACTTACATTTCAACAACATAATCTCTTTAATACATGTTGTCAGGCGCTGGTTCAAAACTACAGGTTATCTGGACATCAGCACAAACAGACAAGTTTTACAGACTGCAGCAGTCTGGGTCTCTGCTGGATGGAAAGCAGCAGAAGAGTGACAAAGAAATGGACCAAAAGCTCAGGTCTTATACCATGATAATTTGAAACACATGCAACAATATGTCCCAACATCCTTAGGTGAGAACAATACCTCCTTTCTCCAGGACACACAGTAGCCCCTCTCAAAGTAAGCCTGAGGCTACTCTAAACAGATGTTTTCTGCGCTCTTCTTAATTTAACTTCCTGTGTTTCATGGCTGGGGGATGGGAGAATGCTGCTGATACGTCCATCACATCCCATCACACACGTAGGTTAACCCAAAGCTGTCTAAACTTTTAATATATTCTAATTCACTTTAATGAAAATCCAACAACTCTACTAACATTGAGGTACATCCCACAGGCCCCACCCCCTCACCTGCCGGTTCAAGTGCTTGAGGTACATCCCGCAGGCGCGGCAGAAGGCCTCCAGGAGGAGCCCAAAACGACGTGACACAGTCTTGTTGTGCATCTCTGACTTCAGGTGCCAGAAAAAGAAGTGTCCGATCCTCTGATTGGTAAGAGCTTTTTTAATCAGGAAACGAGCCAGAGGATTGTCCAGGTACATCTCGTACTTCAGCACCTGTGGAGACATGTGACCTGTGACATGACGAAGCAAGTAATCTGTAAACTATGAAGACATGTGAACCTTGATCTGCCAAAAGACGTGACCTAACAATGACCTGTGTGATGACGTAAAGCGATAGTAGCAGTCACAAGGTTAAAACTGTTAAATAAGTGATTGTACAGATGTGTCGACCGCTGATGATTTGTCTTCTGTTGTTCTTTGTTTGCAAATGTGGTGCTAATGACTCTGCTCCAAGACAAATTTCGGGAGATGAATGAAGACATTAAATTAAATTGAAACTGAGTAGTAGTAGCAGCAGTAGCAGCAGTATCAGCAGTAATCACTGCAGTACTCACCTGAACTAGTTGCAGCAGGTATTGAGACAGCTTGTCATCGCTGAGTCCTTGGACCAAACACCTCAGAGCAAACTCTCGAACCACAGGATCTGGAAAGTTCCAGTCCAGGAGCTCAAGGGCTGACTCAGGTTCAATCAGGGGCCACTCCTTCAGCAGGCAGTACATCTGTAACAATAGCAGACGTTAGGGGCCACTGATCAGCTGTAGATTTGTATCAATAGAGGACATTAGCGGCCTCTCATCAGCTGTACATCTGTAAGATCTTCTTTTAGAAGCATGGCAAACCATTTGTATTAGTACATATGACCTAAAACCTATAAAAGTGAATTTGCATGTGTGTGTGTGTGCGCACGAGAGAGAGTGTGTGTGTGTGCGTGCCCAAGAGAGAGTGAGCATGCACGTGTCTGTGTGTTAGGGAGAGTGCGTGTGCTACCTGTGACACTTCATCTCTGGAGTTCCACTTGACTGACAAGAGAAGCTTTGGCAACGACTCCGGAAAGTTCACACAGAAATGTCTGAAAAGATTGAAAACAAATGGGTTCATCAGAACCAAAACGTCCTGTCCTCAGCTCCATGTTCGAATTCATCAGAATCAAAATATCCTGTCCTCAGCTCAGTTAATCTCAGCCAATATATGTATGATATTTGCTGGGGGCAGCAGTGTGGATCGGGAAAGGGCATTTGTGTTTCATGGCAGGGTTTGTCTGCATGGGGAGGAGCCTTTACACTTGGAGGCAGAGTCTTTATGTTTGGGTCTGAGGCATTGGGGGCGGGTCCCGGCTCAAATGGGACCCGCCCGCCACCCACATGTGCGCTGACATGCTTAGAATCTAACTCCTTGCCGGTGGTGTTGTACCCGGAAAAAGAATTATCCAGTGCATTCTAACAAGATCTTCTTTCCTTTCGACTTCTTCACAGCCTGGTCTGGTTGGCTCTTGGCTTAACGCTACGTTCCAGATGTGTGTCAATGCTGACAGGAGTTTTTTTTTTTTTTGGACCAGCCTAGTTTAGGGACTGAAAGGGACTCACGCAGCTAACGCATGCGCAAATGCGTTTTTTCACATTTTCTTGCGGGAAAGGCTGCCTGTGACCATATTGAATCTGCCCATGTCTGTGGCAGATAAATTGGTTAATATTTACAGTCTCTGGTCTGAGCCTGTGTGCTTGAGTGTGGAGTCTGTGTCTTTGAGGCCGTAGCCTGTGTGCTTGAGTGTGGAGTCTGTGTCTTTGAGGCCGTAGCCTGTGTGCTTGGACGAGCATGGGGGGCAAGGCTTTACCTGTGCCTCCACAGGAAGTCTTTGTCCTGCTCCGACAGCTCGTACAGCGGATCTCTGGAGCCCAGAACCTTCAGCTGCTCAACCTCTGCCTCAGAAAGGCCCTCGCAGGCCACACCTCTCTGACACACATGACAATCCCAAAATCATGTTAGTGTTATTTTAAGCTGCTGCTAATGCTATTTCCAAAGCTAATGCTAATGCTAAAGATAATGCTAAAGCTAATAAAAATATCATAATAATACCGTAAAGACCACAGCTAAAGCTAAGGCAAAAGATATTGCTGAAGCTTATCATAGTATATCATAATTATATAGCGCACAAACGCAGTTAAAAAGTAAAACTTAACAGTGCAATGCAGGGTCACAGTGAATAAGCAAGTTTAACACCAACAGGGAGGGAGTGACTGAGTGGCCATCAATGGTGGAGGGATATTCCAGTGAGGATGAGTTTGATTTTGTTGCTGTTGAGTTTGAGAAAGTTGTGATGGTGGAGAGGATGACTGGGGTGATGGATTTTGTGGAAATGTACACCTGGTAGTTGTATGTGGAACAGTGAAAATTAAGTCCATGGTGACAGATGATGCGGCCATAGGGAAGCATGTAGATGACAAAGGGTAGGACTCACCAGGCCGGGGGAGTACCCAAGCTCGCGGCTAATGCTCCAGTGGGCGTGGTCTTCCATCTGAGAGTCATCTGGAAAAACTACGGTTTGATTAAACCATGAAAACTCCAACTCCAGACACGGGGACTCCTGAAACCAGAGACCAGATGAGACCAGAGAGCAGGTGAGACCAGAGACCAGGAAGAACATGAATCTGGAAGGAACAACGCACTAGAGCTGTGATCTGGAGCTGTGTCAGGTACAGACCATAGACTGTTTACAGATGGACAATGCTGACCCACTGGCTGAATGTTCACCCGCCAGCTAAATGATGCCAAAGAGAGAAGTGCTCATTGTAAAGTTTTGCTCCGACTCACTCTGGCTCCAAAAGTAAACTTCTCTAGCTTCATTCGCTGGGGACACTTCAGCTTGCCTTAGCAACCATGTTAGCAACATGTCTTCCCATCTAACGCCGTCAGAACAAATGACCATATAAGGTATTTGCCTTCAGATAGCTTATGTTCAAATTTGGCTTTTTCTGTATTCAGCAGACACTATGGTGACGTCACACTCGGTCAGCCCACTCGTAATATACAGTCTAAGATCCAAACCAGGTACAGTTCTTGTTGGGTCCTGACCTTGTTGGGGTACTGACCTTGTTGGGGTTGCTGGTCGCGGTTCCAATGGGGTTCAGCAGGTCCTCCAGACCATGTGGAACCGGCCACAGACTCAGGGCAAGTTTCCCACAAACTAGGACGTCTTTGAAGTCAAAGAGATTCACGTTTCCCCAGGCCAGTGGGCAGTGTTCCTAAAGAGAGAGAAACCACATCTGAACTAGGTCTAAATCAGGTCTAAATCAGGTCCAAACCAGGTCCAAACCAGGTCCAAACCAGACTTAAATCAGGCCAACAGCTTGTGCTCCTATAGAGAGAGAAACCAGGTCTAAACCAGGTGTTATCCCAAAAACAAATTACAAACCAATTTCAAATGTTCTTTTGAAAAGCTCATAGTTAAACATCTATGGTGCTACCTACAGGACAATATGTAATTGGAAAAATCATAGCACTGAAACAGCACAAGTCACAAATTACTTACTACAAACCAGATGGAGAAGTGTCATTGCTGGTTCTGCTGGACCTCTGGCGGCATCTCCTACCTCCTAGGCTCCTTTCCTCCCTTCTCATTTCATCCCTTGTTGCCTCCCTACTTCTTGGCTTCCTTCGTTTCTCCTTATCTCCTTTACTACATCCTCAGTTCAATTTCTATATGTAGTCCCACAGCGGCACTCACAAACACTCAAGATCTTTAAATGTTATAGTGGTAGGGGAAACCGTAGTGCCGGAGGAAACCTACACAGACAGGGAGAGCATGTTCAGAAAAGCCCTGCCTGGTGGTGGAAACCCAGGACCGTCTTGCTCTGAAACACATGTGCAAACCTCTGCGGCACCATGTCGCCCATCTCCCCCGTTCTTGTCTCCTACCTCCTTGTTCTCTACCTCCTTGTCTCCTTTCATCCATTCTCATCTCTTCCCTTCTTGTCTTCTACATCCTTGGATTTGTCCCTCCCCTCTTGTGTCCCCCCTGCTTGTCTTCTACTACTTTGGTTCCTTTCTTTTCTCCTACCATTTGTCATTTGTCCTTGTCTTTACAACTTCCTCAGCTCGTCTCCTCCATTCTCAGCTCATCTTCTACCTTCTCATCTTCTCCCTCCTTGTGCTCTTTTCTACCTCCTCAGCTAGTCTCCTGCCTCTTCACCTCATATCCTCCCTCCTTGTCTCCTACCTCCTTGGCTCCTTTCCTTCCCTTCACGGAGCAGATGGAGAGACAGAGTCGGGCCGAGCGAGGGAGGTCACACAGGGACAGGTCATAGGTCAACCACTCGTTCCACCTGAGGAGATAAAGGTCAAAGGTTTTGACAGAAACTCACACAAAATCACCAAATTCAACAAGTTAAATTAATGCATCAAATCAAATCAATAATGGCTGGTGCTATGTGTACTGGGTGCAGCTCCGACTGCCACCCTCCCGACCCAGAAATGGATTACGGGGAAGAAAATGGATGGATGGAACATATATTTAATGTGTAAAAGATTAAGCCTGAGAAAAAGAGTGTGTATTTGGTGTTAGCATAGGGTGAACTTGTACCTGGGGTTAGGTTGTGTATTAGCTTGTACCTTGGATTTGCACAGGGCACTCTCTGGGTGTTGACGTTGTCGCACAGAGGTTCTCCTCCGTGGTAAATACCTGTCCTGACGTAAATCTGAAAGAGGGCACATGTAGCTTGTGTTAAAATTAGTTAGCTTGCATTAGAATGTTTTAACATAAGTTAACACGCGATGTTGTGTTGTGTATTAGCACGTTTCAGAATGTTTTAGCTTGTTAGCTTACCTTATCTATGTCCCTGATGTTGACGTTCACATACGTAGCGCACAGCAGCCTGATGCGCAGCAGAGTGTTAAACGCCCAGAGAGACCGGATCGAGTCTGGACCAGAACCAGAGGGACAGGGGGACGGCTGGGGGGTCCTACGGCTGAAGATAAAAGGACCAGAGTGAGACCAGAGACCAAGGAGAGACCAGAGTGAGACAAGAGACCAAGGAGAGACCAGAGTGAGACTATAGACAGAGACAGAAAGACTGGTTCTATATGGTATATCTGGTCCATATGGGTCTAGTCACGTCTGGTTTTCATGAATCTGATCCACAAGGGTCTGGTCCAGTCTGGTCCACATGGATCTGGTCAATAAGGGTTTGGTCCAGTCTGGTCCACATGGGTCTCTCACCTGTAGGACGGGGTGACAAAGCTGGACCCTGGCAGCTGGGAGTATAGCGAGTCCTTTGACACCAACATGAGGTGTGGCAGCCGTCCCACCGACAGACACGAGCGGATGTACTGCACCGAGAAACCAGCAGATATCACTACAGACCCGTGTTGTTTAGACCCATGTCGCCTTCTCACCAATAAAGCAACGTGTCAAAATAAAAAAAACAATCTTGCCCCCATCAAAATAAGCATTAAAAAAAACTAGATAGGGATCAGAGAAAGACCAGAGAGAGAGACTAGAGAGTAAGTAAGTCAATTCCATCCATCCATCCATTCTCTTCCCCCTAATCCTGTTCTGGGTCTGGGGGTGGAAATCAGAGCCCCAGCCCCTCACTGAGCCTCCTGCAGGTGGTGAGTCCACAGGAGGATGACTGCTCTGTCTGTGAGAGTATAGTCTTGTGGTCTTCAGGCAAAGGTGTTAAGTGTCTTGCCCAAGACACAACGGCAGCAGAACTCAGTGGGAGTCAAGAGTCGGTGGAGAAGGTCTCGTGATGGGATTGAACCCACAACCTTCAGGCTCAAAGGCCAATTCTTCACTAACTGAGCCACTGTCACCCCAAAAAAGTGAATTATGTCTCGTTATCATACCACAGCGATTGTTGAAAGAGTGGATTTTGAATGTGCACGTGGGTGTCGGCTGTTTTTAAATGATGAATTTCTATCTCTTCTGCCCCCCTCCCTTGGGGCCACCACTGTCTTCTGTCTGGCCCTCCTAATTGACCAATCAAGTGTGACCTCGGGGTCTATAGGTGGGAGCCAGCTTGCTATAGCCCTCTCTTGGAACGGGTATGTTACCTACCAACATCATGTAGCTGGGAGGCCTCTGGCAGAGGGCTTTCCGGCTTCCATCTCTCTCTAGAACATCTCTCTAGGGTATGATTACTATTGTGTTATGTCTGTGTGTATCTTGTAACTCTTTAGTGTCATTAAATTTCCTCTTTTATATCCACTTGGTTTGGGTCTAGTATGTACAGCAACAATTATACTTTCATGATAACAGTACTGACATTCAAATTCATGCGTTTGTGAAGGTGTTCAAATTAACCTACTAATTGTTGTCCGACCAAACCCGGTAATTTACACTTGTATTTTGTCAGAGTCGGTCGCAAGGCGGGTTAGAGGCCCAGTCGTTCTGACATGTCACTCCGAGTGGATGGAAGAGATGAATGCAGGAATGGCCCTTAAGTATAAAAGAGAGGAGGTGGTGTGCTGTTCACCTTGTACTGGCTCAGAGGGTACTGCTCCAGCAGGTACTCGTCACAGCCGCACACCTGCACAAAGCACACAGGAAACAAAGATGAGAAAACACAAGATGGTTAAAGAGACCACTGCAGACTGACCACTAGTCCCACTCACAACAGCCGCAGGAACAGAGCAATTTAAGGAGGACGCTGATGTAGTACTGTGACTGTATATGGTCCTTCTCATTAGCATTAGCAGTAGGATCTACATTCAAGGCAGTGAGGGCGGGTCCCAGCTCTAACAGGTCCATGAGCACGTGCAATGAGATACTTGCAATCTTACTCTGGGCAGGTGGGGGTGGACCCAGAAAGAGAATTATCCAATGCTTGGCGTCTTCTTTCCTCTTGAAAACGTCTTTACAGAATGGTCCAAAAGATGACTTTAGAAGGCATTTTCCTGTGGGAGGGGCTGCCCGCGGCTATTTTGAAAAAGCCCCATAGAAGCCAAAAGAAGACTTTGCCAAGAGAAGTATGGTAGCTTGAGAACTAGCCTCTCCGCTTCCTGCTATATTTACGTGCTGTCCCATTGTATCTTTCATGGCGTGATGTAGAGACCCCTGAATCCACCCTCTCTCATTTACATATGGGGACTGTCTCCCCGGCCTAGACTCGTGTACTGCCCCCGCACTCTCCCCCCATCAGGTGCCTGTGTCCTCGCTCTAAGGCCTGAGTGTTGGATCCATGGCCTGTTTGTCTGTGGGAGTCAATTTCTCTCTTGATCCAAAGGGTTTTTGAGTTGTTCCTTGCCAATACCGAGGGGTCTACAAAGATTGGTGATAATCTTGGACATTTATTAAGATGTACATTGGTCATCTGCCCCTTAAGCACCAATGGCTCTATGTGTTTTTTATTATTGCATTTCCTGTCTTTAACTTATTGATTGATTCTCTGATCTTTGTTGGTGAATAAACAACTTTTTAAAGTCCTTTGAGATGACTACTATTGTGATTTGGGGCAATACAAAATAGATTGAATTGAGCAGTAGCAGCAGCGGTAGTAGAAGTAGTAGTAGTAGTAGTAGCAGCAGCATTAGTAATAGTATACTTTCCTTTATGACCTGTCTCCATTTACCTACACAGTTCATACAAATATCTAGGATTGGTCTTCAAGGAGTTCATGATCTCCACAGAGGGAGAGTCTGCAGGGAGGGCTCTGGGTTCCATCGTGAGTAAAATTAAAATTGTGCCAGATTTTAGTTTCTCTGTACACAATGGTATGACTTTTCGGGGAGCTCTATTCTATTCCTTGCTGCAGGTGTTTAAGGTTTCAAGGAGATTGAAACCCTCTCCAGAAAAAAGCCATTAGAAAATTATTGGAAGTGCATAAATTTACCTCAATTTCAGCGGCACAGGGGGATATGGAATGGAGCCGTGTCTCATTAAGCAGAAGCTGAAATGGTGCGTTTAGGGAATCGCCTCCTCCAGCTGCTCAGTCACAGCCTCGCAAACTGTTCAAACAATTACCCCTGGTCTAGAGAAATGGCTGGCATTATATTCAATTTAAACAGGAGTTTCACACAGAACCATGCATACAGTTAAATGGACCCAGAAGGCAGCAGTCTCTGTGAGCCCAGCTGAGACCAGCACTTTGCCTCTGGCAGTGGAGGCGCTTTAAAGCAGCTCCTGAAGAGGCTTTATCTGTTCAGAGTGGGACCTGGGGGTGGAAGAGGATGAGCCTGATTTTGTTTTATATTATCCACCTTACTCTTTTAAATACAATGTGTCGATACTCAGAGTAAATGCTTCTAATCCAGAGGTCTAGGACCAGAGGGTGGAATTATGAACTGATGTATCACGATGAAGTTTTTGCCTTTGCCTCTTTTGTCGCTAAAGCCTGGGAGAGGAGACAGCAGATCCAAACCCTGTATGAGATGTTTACCTTAAATAGCTGTTTTTCATGTACTATATATCCATCAGATGTTGTTTCAGTGTCACATAAGCCTCTGTGGGCTGGGAACTTCTATGCGTGACACTTGAATAGAATAAACTCAAACTGTAGTTGTAGTAGTAGCAGTTGTAGCAGCAGCAGTAGCAGCAGCAGTAGTAGCAGCAGTAGTAGCAGCAGTAGTAGCAGCAGCAGTAGTAGCCGTACCTTCAGTATATACTGCCCTTGATACTCTTGTACACACAGCCTCAGTTGCTGCGGCGACAGATGCATGGATCGACTCTTTTTCCGGATTGACTCTGCGATGAGCTGCTCAGGGAGGCTGTCGTGGTTCACCTTCAAAATAAACAAGTCAAAGTATAAGGCACTTCCAGAATATAATGTGTTCTGCTTTCATTCAGTTGTGTCTAGTTAAAATTAAGATTAGAATTACTTTATGGAGAAATTCCAATGTTGCATCACGAGTTACAGAACATTCGAGGAGCACACAACACAAGATAAATGAATGTGATTATCAAAATAGTGAATATTAAGTATAGCACAACACTATACTTTGTCAAATGAAATACAATCTGCATCTTTAAAACATGTCTATCATTATAAGAATAAAGAAACTGTATGTGATATACTCTAGTGCAAGAAATATATAGAGTGCCTTGCGAATGTATTCGGCCCCATTGAACCTTTCAACATTTCGCCACATTTTAGTCTTCAAACATAAAGATATAAAATTTTAATTTTTTGTCATGAATCAACAACAAGTGGGACACAATCGTGAAGTGGAACGAAATTTATTGGATAATTTAAACTTTTTTAACAAATAAAAAACTGAAAAGTGGGGCGTGCAATATTATTCGGCCCCTTTACTTTCAGTGCAGCAAACTCAGTCCAGAAGTTCAGTGAGGATCTTTGAATGATCCAATGTTGTCCTAAATGACTGATGATGATAAATAGAATGTACCTGTGTGTAATCAAGTCTCCGTATAAATGCACCTGCTCTTTGATAGTCTCAGGGTTCTGTTTAAAGCGCAGAGAGAACCATGAAGACAAAGGAACACACCAGGCAGGTCCAAGATACTGTTGTGGAGAAGTTTAAAGCCGGATTTGGATACAAAAAGATTTCCTAAGCTTTAAACATCTCAAGAAGCACTGTGCAAGCAATTATATTGAAATGGAAGGAGTATCAGACCACTGCAAATCTACCAAGACCCGGCCGTCCCTCCAAACTTTCATCTCAAACAAGGAGAAGACTGATCAGAGATGCAGCCAAGAGGCCCATGATCGGTCTGGATGAACTGCAGAATACTTTCGCAAGGCACTGTACTAATATGTATAGAGTGCAGTACAGTGCAAGAATATTAGCGTAGTGCTTGGCTCTTAGGGTTCAAATGTTCACAGTAATGAAACTACTTGTTAGCAGCATGAGGTTCAGTGCTAAAAGGGAAGTGATGTTGAATACATGTGGTCCCATAATGTACTTTGTAACAATATTTTAAATCATTGCACAAATGCATGACATGTGAGGTCAGTTTGGTTTCATGATCCTCACAGTTCATTGTACAGTCTGACATCAGTGGAAAGAAAAGACCTGCTGAACCTCTCCTTCACACAACGAAGGTGAATCAGTCTGTCGCTGAAACTGCTCTAACAAACTATCAGCATAGATGTTCTCAGTCGCTTCTGTCCCCCACCACTGCGCAGTGTCCTGGGAACGACATCTGCGGAGTGATTTCTGCGGAAGTCCAACACCCTCTTCTTGGTTTTCACCGCGTCGATGATGAATGACAGGCACAGTGGAAGAGGCAGATGATGGTGTTCTGCCCTTTGATTGAACTGCAACAGGTCCATCGCGGAGTTCCCCATGGAGCGGAGGTGGCTCAAAACCAGTCTCTCCAGTGTCAGTGAGGTGGGATGTCAGCGCCACCGGCCTGATGTCGCTGAGGTCTTCGGCCCGTGGTGTCTTGGCCACTGGTGCCACACAGGAGGTCTTCTGCGGTACCGACTTCAGCTCGAAGATCAGGTTGAACAAGTCCTCCATCACTCCACAGAGTTCATGTGCGCAGGAGAAGAAGCCTGGAGCTGATCAGCAGGCCTCCCTTGGCTTGATCTGTAACAGCTCCCTTCTCAACTCTGTGGCAGTGAAGGACATGACTGTGGGCCGCAAGCTCATGGTGAAAGAGCTCGCAGCCGTGTCTGAGGGGCTTTGTTCTCCTGCAGGGGTAGAGGGCAGCAGCAGTGCAGAAAGTTGAATTTCTTGATTTAACCCCAGCTGGAAGTTGTTCAAATTGTATGCCCATTGCCATGCCACGCTGGACAGAGGTTGGCCGTTAAAACTGACATTGTCTTCAGGCTTCTCCAAACACTTCTGGCGTTTTGCCTGCTCAGCTGCTCTTGCATCCTCTTACTGTAATAAACTTTGGCCTCCCTCACTGCTGTTCTCAGACATCTTTGCTCCACCTTCAGCACCTCCTTGTTCCCAGGTATTCTTATTTGCTCTCAGTACAGCCTTGGTCCTGAGTTAATCCACGACTTGTTATTTGCAAAACTTCCTGGGATGTAGTCTGTGGTCCGCTCTGTTCTGCTCATGGGAGTCGCAGAGGTTATCCATAACACATAAACTTCTATCTCTTTCATTCAGCTGTGTCCGTTAGACATCTCTTCTATCTGCTGTCATTTGTGTCCAGGTAAAACAAATAATCTATCTGCTTTTCGTCAATCGGGTCCAGTTAAGCTCTACCATCTGCTTTCAGTCCTCACCTTGAGCGTGTACTTCTGTTTTGAGTTGGACGGAGACACAATGACCCAGATGGTGACGATCAGTCGACCTATGAACAGAGAGGCAGGGTTTGGTCCGACACCAATAATAGCTAAGGGTCTCATCAGGGATTACAGTTGTGCTTTAAGTTCACACACTCACAGAGAATTCATAGTTTTAACCATGTATTTTTCCCCAGCAGCTCTGGGGAGATCTCAAATGTGCAGTTCATGCAAGCAGTTCAGGAATTTACAGGAACTAGAGGCTTTTAGCCAAGAAGAATGGGAAGCTTTACCATCAGGGAGGATATAAGGGAGAAACCATAGACCAGAGAGATAGACCAAAGTAAGACACCAGAGCGGGGTCAGAGAGACTTGAGAGAGACCACGGAGAGACCACGGAGACTAGAGAGGATCCGCAGCTACCAAAGGACACCACGCTGTCTTAGATTTTAAAACATGCTATTGAGAACTGGGGGGTGGAAACTTATGAGAATTGTACACACAGAATTCTATGTTTCTACACCATTAGAGCAGATCCCAGGACAGAGCGAGAAAAGACAAGGAAGTGGAGAATTGGTTGTGTTTGTAAACAACGACTTGGGCAAGCCTGAGCACTGGACCCTGAAAGAAGTATTTGATAAAGACATTGAACTGCTCGCTATTGATGTGCTGCTATACACCTGCTGGGAGAATTAGGACATGGTTTTCTGATAGCTGTCTCCCTCTAGTAAGTGACCTCCTTATACAGCACTCTCAGGCCTTGTTCATAATAATTGGTAATATGGCGCCGTGGCAAGAGATCTAGTGTGCGCTTCCTGGTGCACACGGGGGTACTCTTGCACAGTTTTTCCAATGTGGTGTTACTGCAAATGGAAATTTAATTCTTGAATCTCAGAATAGCATAAAAGAAACAGGACATTAAATTCATAAATTTAATTTTCAGGAAGACTGTTCCAGGTTTTAGTCTTGATAATGCGTACCAGCAGGAGGCCAGTCCCTGTGCTCCTCAGAGTCTGAGTTGGTTCGTACGGCACTAACATGTCTGAGATGTACTTTGTTGTGAGGCCATGGAGAGACTTCTACACTATCACAGTTTATTCTCTGAGCCACAGGAAGCCAGTGCAGAGACCTGAAAACCGTGATGGTACTTCCTGGTTCCAGTCAGCACTCGAGATGCAGCATGTTGAATATACAGTACTCCTTTTTGGCCTCTGTCTGTTTAGATAAACTTTTTCAGACTCCACCAATGTTTTTATAGGGTGAAGGGGTGCTGTTGTCTGATTTGGACATATTATCACATATTTCCTGCACGCCAGTTGACAAGTACCTTCCCCACTCTAGAACCAGACTCTTTAGCTGGTCTTATCTCTGTGAATACGGATTTGTTTTGTACACTTTAAGATCAAAACAGAGCTTGGACTTTCAAGTGTTGCGTAGACTGCATGTATCTGCTCCTCCGCAAATGCTACCCACTTAGCGAAGGGGCAAAGACAAAAGACTGGATCAACGAGCACGGGACCAAAACTATTTCAAGATCATTCTTCGAGGGCACCTTTTGTGGTCCTTGTGGGCGACAGTGCGCCTGACAGCACCCAGCTGTATTTTACAGTGTACGCACGGCAGCACTGAGACCTACAACCATCAGATTGGATGTCTCCGTGATCGCACTTCAGCAGTCGTAAGTTCATGTGGGTAGAAAAGTGAGCCCTTTGAGGTTACAGTAGAGGAACGTACTGGACGTACTGGAGACATAGATCTGACAGCTCATACATACCGCTACGCAAGTTCCGCTGGGCTTATTCTAAATACGCACCCATGTTATCAGTGAGCACCGAGCCACAATTGTAAGCGCAAAATAGGTGCTTCATGTATTTTTACTTGCACAGTGGAAACACATGGGAAACATGTTTTTGCTAGCGGTCCTTGGCACGAGATCAGCTCCACGCACAGCATTTGTTTCTAAACATTAGGATCAGGGTCTCTCGGGTCCTCGCTGCGCTTGCGGTGTGTACGAGCCGTGAGTGACATCTGTGTCAGCAGCATGTAGAGATTGAACAGAAGAGGTCCCAGGATTGATCCCTGATCTAGGAAACAGTTTCCAAACTCAGCAATGTACTTCCTGTCTTCTAGATAAGACTTTAAAGACAGTGTCAAAAGCAGCACTCAGATCTAACAAGATTCAGCCGGAAATAGTTTGTTACCTTGACAAGAGCAGTCTTAGTGCTATGATGGGGTCTAAAGCCAGACTGGATCATATCAAAGGAGTTTTCAGAAAGAAACTTAACTGCCCTGTTGTTTTACTTTGTTAACGCGGTGACGTCATTAGTGAGGTCAGCTGTCTTTCGCTCCCCTGCACCTCCACTCTGTGTTAGTCTGTCGCTTTTCCCTGTGTGAGTGGACGTGTTTGTTACATATGTAACTATAATATGTAACTTATATTTTCTTATGTAAATTCTAGTGTTGGTTTGTACTTGTTCTTGTTCCAGAACACACGCAAACTCACCTCACCCGTAATCCACCCATACACTATCTGTTTCCACCTGTAACTGCCTCAACATTCACAATAATGTTCCTCATTTGGATGTAAGAGCCGTCTCTGTGCCCCACTCTCTAACCGAAGCCCCGTTTACAGTGTCCCTCACCATCAACAATAACAGAAGTGTTTGTGTTTCATTCAGAATCTCAAATGAAAACTGTATGTCTTGAGTTGGTGTTTGGGGTCAGGGTTTGGGTTGTACCTTGGTCCAGCCGCTGATACAGGTGAAGGGGCAGCTCTGCACTGGTCTCCACATTGGGAGGGTAGACGTAGAGTGCCTGGGAGTGAGCGCCCCCTATCTCCCGCTCCTCCACCGCCTCTCTGCACACGCTCAGTATGGAGCGCCGAAACTCCTGCACCTCTGCATCCTTCAGCATTTCAAACTCACACACAGGCATGCCAATGGCAAACCCTGAAAACAAACCAAAAGCAGGTCTGAGCCAGGTGTGGACCAGGTCTGAGCCAGGTGTGGACCAGGTCTGAGCCAGGACAGAATCAGGTCTGAATCAAGTTTGAGTCTGTTTTTAATGGTTTTTGGTCTTACCGATCTCACGGTTCAGGATCTTCTCTTCCCGGTTACCGATCGGTTCGATGACCTTGAGAATCGGGTGGAAAAGCCGTAGGTCACACAGACGCCGCGTTTCATCGTAAAACTCCTCCCTCTCTGCTTCTTGCGTTACGCCCACAAAGATGTAACTCGACTCCTCCTGAAAAACACAAAGAGTCAGGCCAGCAGGAGATGCTAAACAGCAGGAGGCGCTACAGTCCCAGACCAGCAGGAGGCACTACGGTCTCACACCAGCAGGAGTCGCTACAGGCTCAGACCAGCAGGAAACGCTACAGTCTCCGACCAGCAGGAGGCGCTATAGTCTCAGACCATCAGGAGGCGCTACAGTCTCCGACCAGCAGGAGGCGCTATAGTCTCAGACCATCAGGAGGCGCTACAGTCTCAGACCATCAGGAGGCGCTACAGTCTCAGATCAGCAGGAGGCACTACAGTCTCCGACCAGCAGGAGGTGCTACAGTCTCAGATCAGCAGGAGGCGCTACAATCTCAGACCAGCAGGAGGTGCTACAGTCTCAGACCAGCAGGAGGCGCTACAGTCTCCGACCAGCAGGAGGTGCTACAGTCTCAGACCAGCAGGAGGCGCTACAGTCTCAGACCAGCAGGAGGCACTACAGGCTCTCAATGACTCTTCTGGCCATCCTGGAAAAGCCATTGAGATAGAGGACATTTTCCACAAGCTGTCATCAGTTTACACAAAGCACTTTAATTGGTCTTCAATTTTTTTAAATCTTGTTTTATTTTACATTTTAGCTTGTTTATTCTTGGGTTTCATTAAACTGGCCAGTAGGGGGCGCATGAGCCGAGGTGGGACAACTCAGTTTTGCTCCCATTGACAACCATGTAAATTGTGTCTGTTTTGGAGTCAAAAGGCTCTCCTCCTGTGCGGTGTAGGGTTGTTGGAACAGTCTTAATAGGGGACACTCAATTCTAAGGGAGTATTAAAAAGAGTCTTGATTTCTGGCATTTTTGGAAAGAAAAACAGAAGAAATGTCTGCGCTTCATTGGGGTGGCCTGCAGGGGACGCTTATCTGGGAAATCCTTGATCCCCCTCACCTGCCTCATTCCAGTGTCCTCGTTTATATGAGACCACAGTTGGAACATGAACAAACTCTTGTCTTTCTCTCTATTCTCGCGGTTGCTACAAGCGTACACCGCACACAAAGATGGCGTTTTGACAGCGCTTCTTCTTCTACTATATCTCCGTGTATAAACCAGGCAGACTGCACCGCCAGGGTACATCAACTGCAAATGGCAAATAAGCTGAATCTGGTCATAAACATTACAGTAGTACGTGATACGGTTTATGTGAGGGCTGTAGGCACGCTCTCTGACCTGTAGGGGGCTGTTGTGACTATCGCTGACCTGTAGGGGGCTGTAGTGACTATCGCTGACCTGTAGGGGGCTGTAGTGACTATCTCTGACCTGTAGGAGGCTGTAGTGACTGTCTCTGACCTGTAGGGGGCTGTAGTGACAATCTCTGACCTGTAGGAGGCTGTAGTGACTATCTCTGACCTGTAGGAGGCTGTAGTGACTATCTCTGACCTGTAGGGGGCTGTAGTGACTATCTCTGACCTGTAGGAGGCTGTAGTGACTGTCTCTGACCTGTAGGAGGCTGTAGTGACTATCACTGACCTGTAGGAGACTGTAGTGACTATCTCTGACCTGTAGGGGGCTGTAGTGACTATCTCTGGCCTGTAGGAGGCTGTAGTGACTATCGCTGACCTTTAGGGGGCTGTAGTGACTGTCTCTGACCTGTAGGGGGCTGTAGTGACTATCACTGACCTGTAGGAGGCTGTAGTGACTATCGCTGACCTTTAGGGGGCTGTAGTGACTGTCTCTGACCTGTCGGGGGCTGTAGTGACTATCACTGACCTGTAGGGGTCTGTAGTGACTATCGCCGACCTGTAGGGGGTTGTAGTCACGCTCTCTGACCTGTAGGGGGCTGTAGTGACTATCTCTGACCTGTAGGAGGCTGTAGTGACTATCTCTGACCTGTAGGGGGCTGTAGTGACTGTCTCTGACCTGTAGGGGGCTGTAGTGACTGTCTCTGACCTGTAGGGGGCTGTAGTGACTGTCTCTGACCTGTAGGAGATGGTAGAGGGGAAACTTTCGGGCCTCGGTGAACAGCTGCTGCTTGATGTCGATCAGAGGAGTTTCCCTCAGGCACTCGAGGCTCACCAACATCCCTGAGAGACACATCATATGTTAAATAGATAAATTAATACTTAATTGATCCCTGTAGGAGAAAATCAAGTGTCCAGTAGCAACAGAAACACACCCATCCATACAAACAAAACAAATAGATACATACTTCTAAAAATAGCTAGCAATAGTAATAACATGCAACCGCACTTTAGGTCACTTCCTCTGGTCGATGTTGGCCTGGGTAAGAGTCTGCTTGGTTCGGACCATTTCTTTGCTCTGGTTCAGAGTAAAATGCTCAATGTTTTCAAGTATTTTTCTAAAACTTTGCATTCCTCCAGTGAATTTACGCTTGATCTGCCTGTACAATAAGTCACTTCAAGTCACTAATGCACTAGGACTGAAAAACCTGCTCTGCTATTGCCACTTTTTATTGTACATAATAAATCCTGAACAGACTATAATTTTTGGCCTTAACATGTTTGCACACTTTTGTCTTTTGCACAATCTGAGTGATTCTATCTGTGCCAAATGTGATATGTAAATTTGTCCAGTGTGAGATCAATAAAGTCTATCTTATCTTATCTCTTGTGTTCGGACCGTGAATCCTCTCTGCTTTGGTCTGGTTCAGTGTGTAACCATGGACAGTGCAGTAACGGAGTAATGGACACACACCTGTACATACATAAATGTACACATACACATATTGCACGCAGTTGTGGTTTACATCTTACACACACACACACACACACAGAGAGGGAGCGTTCACAGTAGTGTCCATATTTCAGAGAGTATGAATGAAACAGAGGCCCAGGAATTTACAGAAAATAAATTTGAAGGAACTTACAGTCACTTTTAGCCAAGAAGTGTGTGCAGCTTTACCATCAGAGAGGATAAATAATCTTATACATAATTAAGATTCCAAGCTGTCATAAATGTTAAAGGGCAACACACGCTATTGCCTGGGGAATGGAGATTTCTGATCAGGGTCACATGAGGAGTTTCTAACCTCATTATCATTTGAATGGAGAGTGTGTTTCATACAGAATCTCTGAAGGGTTACATATGCATCTGTTGTAAAGGCAGCAGTAGTAGTATTAGCAGTAGTAGTAGTAGTAGTAATAGTAAATATAGTAGTAGTAGTGGTAGTAGTGGTAGTATTTGCAATAGTAGTGAAAATACTTTTACCATTGGGTAAACAGCAGTCCACTTTGATGCGGGGGGGCATCAGGTGAAGCCCCCACAGTTCCCCTGACGACGGCCTGGGCGCCATGCCAACCACCAGTCACAGCCAATCACAGGCTTCTTTCTCCGCACCTGCACAAGTCACACAGTCAGTGTTACAGTCACTGACTTCAAATAACACAAACTGCATTGTTAAAGTAGCAATATGTACGATTTTCATGTCAAGTCATCATTAAAGGGCCCTAATCTGTCAAAAGGCATTAATAAACCATCCTCTTTCGAGTTCTTCTTTCACTGATAACAGTAGTTCAGAGATATTGAATATCAAAATTAGTTTTACAGCTCCTTGATCTTGTTATTGTTTTCATTTCGATGTCCCGCCCTCCACCTTTTGTGTCCTTTTGTGCTTTTGAATTTTTATTTTTGGGGGCTCAGTGGCTCAGTTGGTAGAGCACTGACTGGCCTTTGAGCCTGAAGGTCGTGGGTTCAAGCCCACCACAGAACCTTCTCTACCGACTCCCACTGATGACTGCTGTTGTTGTGTCCTTGGGCAAGACACTTAACCCCACATTGCCGGAAGCCCCCGCTGAAAGATCAAGGCTGTATCGTCACTGACGGAGCAGCCATCCTCCTGTGGACTCACCCCTGCAGCAGGATAGGGGCTGGCGCTCAGTGAATTGGGTGCAGCCTTGACTTTTTTCTACCTGAGATGTTGCTGCAGTACAGTGTTCATGGTTTTACACTGGTCCAGACCAGAGCAGAGAGGATTCATGGTCCAAATCAAGAGGATCAGGTGAAAATCCACTGGAGGAATGCTGACTTTTTGAAAAATGCTACTGAAACATTTAGCATTTTACTTTGGACCAGAGCAGAGAAAATGGTCCGAACCAAGCGGTTACTCCACCTCTTCTGCTGTGACGTGAAGGGTTGTTGCTGATGATTTATTTCTGCTGCTACTGGACACCTGAATTTCTCCAACGGGGATCAATAAAGTATCTCCATCTCTTTATCTATCTATCTATCTATAGATTTGTTGTTGACAAAACTTTGTACATACTGCTCTAAATTATCTATTGCGTGTAATTATATATTAGGACTGTTTTCTGATTTTGATATGGAACATGTAATTTAATGTGTGTTAACGTGTTTAAAGTGTGTTATCTTTCATTCAGACTGAGGGTGGCCATCTTGGACTTGTCTTGTCCTTTTTTATGTCCAATACTTGTGTTTCATTGTTTGAGCCAAATCTGACCCCGACCCCTGCTCCAATGAAGCGTGCACAAAGAAAGTGGGACAGTCTTTGTGTGTGTGTGTGTGGGTTCTTATATTTGTGTGTGTACGTGTGTGTGTGTGTGGATCTGTGTGTGTATGGGTGCGTATATTTGTGTGTATGTGTGTGTGGGAGGGGGGTCTAATTGTGGGATTAACACTAAACAATAGAATCACTGACATCCCAATGATTATTATTTTAGATGGTGACTTAAAGCTGATGTACGTAACTTTAGTCTCATAAACAACACATGTAGATTGTCCAACATGAAGAACCTTGTGAAAGTAAAACATTGTGAACAAATTAGGCCACAACATGTTTTCTTTATCTCATTAGAAAACTGTTATTGTGGTGGATGTTCTGTCATTCCTTAAATTGGAAAAGATTAATATCGCAACAATAGGATACAAAGAAAATTTCGAACACAAATGGGGTCCCTTTTTGAGATATTATAAATCATTGCCCCCCCCCCACCTCTTTTTTATTTTTTTATGTTTAAATTATTTAAAAAATTTATCTATTTGCTTCATTGACTGTTTAGATTGTGTTAGTTAGTATATACAACATCCATGTTTGTTTCAATGTGTGACTGTAATGGGTCTTTTTTTGGAGGTTATTGGTAAAAATAAAATAAAAATAAAAAAAGTTACAACAACTTTGTAATTTTTCTATGTGTCTATTATTGTGTAACTTAATTGTTTGTTATTGTTTGTGTAAGAAAGAGCCCTCACTATTTGACTCTTCGGGCTGAGTGAGGACGGTCCTCTCGTCTTCACTTTTCTGTGAACAGAGGCCAACGATACATGCGACGTGAAAACTAAACAGAAGCAAACTATTTTAGAGCCAAGTGACATGAATTACACCTGTGTTTGGACCTCACATTACACCTGTGTTTAGACCTCACAGTACACCTGTGTTTAGACCTCAATTACACCTGTGTTTAGACCTCACATTACACCTGTGTTTAGACCTCACATTACACCTGTGTTTAGACCTCACATTACACCTGTGTTTAGACCTCAATTACACCTGTGTTTAGACCTCACATTACACCTGTGGATAGACCTCACATTACACCTGTGTTTAGACCTCACATTACACCTGTGTTTAGACCTCAATTACACCTGTCCTGTGTTTAGACCTCACATTACACCTGTGTTTAGACCTCACATTACACCTGTGTTTGGACCTCACATTACACCTGTGTTCCTTGATGTTTCTGATGTACTTGTGCCTTTTGAACTATGAAAATTCAGGGATACGGTCTCCATGACGACGACCCTCCCCCTCCTCCCGGATACAGGGGGATACGGTTTCCATAGCGACCCAGCAGCAGAGGAACCCATGTTCATGAAGCATCAAAGGAAAAGCACTGAATACTCACCGTCAGAGGGTCCCCCCCACCCCCGTGGTCAGTGCATCGTGATGAGGGGGAGGCACGGGGGGAGGGGGTCCACAGGGGGGCGGGGGAGAGAAACAAGTCCAGGGGAGGAAATCCTCACACTGCTGCTACTACTGACATCCAATGAAGCAGGACCAATGGTAGACAAAAAAAAAGCCAAGTGAGGACAAGACGAGTGCCCAGACCAGGGTCGGACTAGGTCCAGGCTAGGTCCAGGCTAGGGTCAAGATCCAAGGCAAGTCCTGCTTCAGTCAAAGTCTGGAGGAAGTCCACAGGATCAGACAGAAGACAAAAGAATCCAGAGGAATGAGCAGATAAAAATGGTGACAGGGCTGAAGGCCGGGTGGAGGGAGTCCTGCTTCAGTCCTGCTTTAGTCCTGGTCCAGACCAGGTTCAGAGCATGTTCAGTTCCTCGGTTAGTCCTTTATTTAATCCATGTTTAGTCCAGCTCCATCCTGTCACACACCGGCTTCAGAACAATGTGAGGAAGAGGAGGAGGGAGGGGCAGCTGCTCTTAAAGAGACAGACATGTTATGAGGCATCTGTCAAAGCCTGGGAGCTAAGCCGAGAACTGTAACCTCTGATCTTACTATGACTATATAACAGCATAATGAGAATTATTATTACACATAGATATACTATGTATATATACACAATACAATACAAAAAATATATTTTCATCAAGGTGTTATTATTATTATTTTTATTATTATAGTTTATACATAGGAACAGCAAAGATACTGCACAGCACCCTAAAGCTCCCAGGCCCCTGGTATAGATATACACAAATAATAAACTTATCAATATACTGTATATGAATATATATTCAATTCAATTCAATTTAGCAGGGCGACAGTAGCTCAGTTGGTAGAGCATTGGCCTTTGAGCCAGAGGGTCGTGGGATCAGATCAGAGAATCAACAGACACAAAAAACATAGAGCACATGGTATTGGTCCATAGGGAGAGACCAATGTCCATGAATGTGTCCATACATGTTGTAGAATGTTAAAGTGTCATGGATCGTCACCACAGTCCTTCTTGTTAGACATTAACTGTCTAACAGACTCCTGCATTGGCAAGGAAAATCTCAAAAACCTAGTGAGAAACCTCGGGGATATCCACATTGAGAGAGGGATCTGCTCCACACGGACGGACGGGCTGTAGATCCAGGACCTAAGTTACAGAACGAGGACCAAGGCCACGCAGCGGTTGTAGCACGAGGACAGGTGCGCTGCAGGACTGAAGCAACTCCCAGGGAGAGGGGGGGCAGCCCACAAGGCTATAATTGTATAATCTCACAACAATATGTTCTGTTATATATATCAGATTTTCCAAATGAGCAATGACTAAACAACAGAGTTGTATTTTTTTTGGTTGAACTGAAAAGCGGTGGCTGGATGGTGTCAAAAGCGCTGGAGAAATCAAAAAACAGAATAATCACCTCAGAGCCGAGCTTCTCCAGGTGGGATAGCCCGCAGTGGAGGAGGGAGATGATGGCGTCCTCCATCAACTGTCTATTTTGCACAAATAGAAACTTTGTAAAAAAATCTATTTGTGCAAATATTGTGATATAAGTACCCCAGAGGACTTACTGCTCATGGTTGAATTTTTGTTATTTTTTATATTAGTGCTATGTTTAAAACCCTATATTTATATATATAGAATGTATTGGTCAGATGCAGAAAAGGGAGAGAGTTCCACCTGAACTGCCATTAGATCTGATTTCCCACTGCTGCCACTAGATGGGAGTGTTGTTTACCCGGACGATTTGTCTGTTGCACTTGATGATAAGACAATCCTTCGTTTGTCCCACAGTGGGGAAAGTCATTGTTGTGCACATTACAGCCGAACAAAAGGAGGAAATAAGAGCACTCAGACTGCACACATCAAACAGGATCTATTATTTAAGATAATAAATAATACATTGAATAATAAGATACTAAAATAAAACATTGGTGGAGTATACTCTGTAACAGCATCATGATGTACTTATGGGTTGTTTATATTGTACTTTAGCAGCAGAGAATATGACCAGAATAAGCAATAGTAATAATAGCAGCAGGTAAAGTGACTAGTGGATTATCAGAACAGGTGAATGGCATATATACCATCTGACAGCAGCAGGAAGGAAAGACCTGTGGAACCGCTCTTTCAGACAGCAAGGAACCCCTACAGGGGGTGACAGTCATAGTACAGGACCCTCCTGGACTTGTTCTTAGTCCAGCATAGTCATGGTCCCTATGCTGGACCAGGAACAAGACCAGGAGGGTCCTGGACAAACTAGATGTCAAGGACCCTCTTGGACATCAGATGCTGCACTGTGTCCAGGGAACAGCCCAGGACAGAGCTGCACTTCCTGATGACCTTGGCCAGCTTCCTCCTGTCCCTCTCTGTGATGCTGCTGCTCCAGCAGACC